CCCCCTCGGTTGCTAGGCGCATTTGGGTCCTTTTTGGGGGGGCTGCCACCTTACCTTACAGAGGGGGGGATTCCTGCCGTCACTGTGCACCGTTTTATGTCTGTGTATGTACATAGCGCCGGCCTGCACCTGCACCTGCACCACCAAAACAATCCCACCACAACTTTTCGACATCGTCAACACCACAAGCCGATTCCTCCGCCGGCTGGCGCATGCCTACTCACCTTAGTATTTACTACTAACCTTTGCAGCAGGACCACGGCGCCTACTTCCTTCGCTTTGCATCAGGTCGCACACAGACGGCCATCATCTGACCTCTCTTGGTCCTGTCCCTTCTTGTTCTTATTCATCTTCTCTTCCCTCCCCGTCCGACTTTCAATCGCATTCTCGCCGCAGGGTGCGCACCACACCCCTCGACCGCAGCCATGGACTCGGTCGCATTCGACATCAACGATGCGCTCAAGCATTACATGAGCGACCCTGCCAGCATACCAACTCCAGAGGCAGATGGCTCCCTTTTCGACTGCGAAAATGACCCCGAGGGCCTCACCAACGGCGTCGTCAACCCCGTTCTCAACCCCATTGTTGACGCCGTCGCCGAGAACCCCGAGGCCATCACTCGCAGCGCCCATCTCGATTCTCTCCAGTTCCTCCTAAAGTGCGCACCCATCTCCCCTTGTCCTTCAGACCCCTCTCCTTCGATTCCTTTATCCTCCTCCAGGCTCTCCGCGAAACAAAGACGTGAATCTGAACGTATGAACCCTTCCAGGTATACCACCTTCTTGCCAACACATGCCCTGAGCAAGATCTTCGACCTCATCATGTCCGGCCTTGCCGCCGAGGCTGATGCCATAAACCACGACCTCGAGTCCCCCGACGAACAAGAGACCCTCGCACACCACAAGCAACTTCTCGAGATCTACGGCTTCCTCCTGCAGTGGACCATCGCTGCCGTCGAGACCAAGGCTGCCGAAAAGTCGACAACAGCACCCGTGGCCCGAGGCCGCGGCAAGCCAAAGAAGAATGCGCCCAAGGGCCAAGACGGCGTCTGGGACTCCGCCAGCCAGTTGCAATCCGCCCTCGACATCATGAGCAAGGTCCTCAAGTTGAAGCTCTCCAAGATCTTCCTCACCACTTCCGAGAGAGACACCTTTGTCGGTCTGCTAACTCGTCCGGTATACATGGTGCTCGAGAGCGAACAGCGCGTCAAGGCCATCTCCATCAGGATGCACGCCTTCAAAGTCCTCTGTATCGCCGTCAAGCACCACGGCCATGCCTACGGTAGGTGTTGGGACTGATTGCATCTATGCCTAGCTTTGTACTGACTATTCCCCCAGCTGCCCAGATTTCTATAGTTCAGAATCTGACGTACTTCGAGCATCTCTCCGAACCCATGGCCGAGTTCCTTCACATCTTGGCTGAAACCTACGACTACCCCCAACTGGCCGACGAAATCCTGCGCGAGCTCAGTAACAAGGAGTTCAACAGCAACGACACCAAAGGCCCAAAGTCCGTCTCGCAATTTATTGTCAAGCTCTCCGAGCTGGCCCCTAGAATCGTCATTAAGCAGATGACGATGCTTGCCAAGCAATTGGACAGCGAGGTAATTATTGCGACCTCAATGGTGTTGAATTCATTCTGACCGCTGCTCAGTCATACACTCTGCGTTGCTCCTTGATCGAAGTTTGTGGAAATATGGTTGCCCACCTTGTCAAGCAGGACGAGCGTGGCGAGAACCACAAGTCCCAGCTCGACGCCTTTTTCGACGTCCTGGAAGAGCGGTTCCTCGACATCAACCCCTACTGCAGATGCAGAGCCATTCAAGTCTACGTCAAATTGTGCGATCTCGAGCAAAAGTTCCCCAAGAGACGACAACGCGCCGCAGAGCTTGCTTGCCGAAGTCTGGAGGACAAGAGTAGTCACGTAAGAAGGAATGCCATCAAGCTTCTCGGCACACTCATTAAGACACACCCCTTCACTGCCTTGCACGGCGCCCTGCTAGTCCGTAAGGACTGGCAGGCTCGCCTCGACAAGGTGGAAGAGGAATTGAACGCTTTGAAGCCTCCCGAGGGCGCCGGCCTTGGCGACAATACCGCTGTTGATAATACTCTTCTGGACGACGCCACCCAGGTCGAACAATCCCCGCAGAAGCCCATGACTGATGAACAAAAGTTCGAGGCAGTCAAGAAGGCGCGCGAAGAAGCTGCTACGTCTGAGGCGATTGAAAAGCTCACGCTGACGAAGCGATACTACTCCGAGGCTTTGAAGTTCATTGATGTTCTTCACGACGCCACTGGTACAGTTTGCCAGTTGCTTGGCTCCAGGAACAAGAGCGAGGTCATTGAGGCCATGGACTACTTTGAGATTGGCGATGCCTACAAGATCGAGCAAAACAAGGTCGGCATCCGCCGTATGTTGCGTCTCATTTGGACCAAGGGCAACAGCGACGAGGGCAAGGGCGTCCAGAGCCATCTCATCGATGTGTACAAGCGCATCTTCTTCGAGGCACCCGGCAACTTCACCGCGAACGACGCTGCCAACTACATTGCTCGCAACATGATCAGTCTTACGAGTGAGACAACGCCTGCTGAATTGACTTCGCTCGAGCAGCTCTTGGCCACTATGATGAAGGGTGGTCTGATTCCTGAAATCGTCATCGCCAAGCTCTGGCAGGTGTACGGCGTCCGCAAGCGCGAGATTTCCAAGAAGCAGCGCAGGGGTGCCATCATCGTGCTCGGTATGCTTGCGACTGCCAACCCGGAGATTGTGGTCGGGGAGATGGAGACGATGCTCCGTACCGGTCTCGGCGCACACGGTCGCGCCGATCTCCAACTGGCCAAGTACACCTGCATTGCTCTTCGCCGAATCAACCCCACAGGCAGGCAGGCGAAGGAGTCCACCGTCAAGTTCTCGCGCCTTCCAAACGAGCACGCCGTTCTGGCCAGGTTGGCAGCCATCACTGAGGTTCCCTCGGACAGCAAGGAGTGGTATGGTGTGGCCGAGCAGGCCATCAACGCCATCTACGCTATTTCCAAGCACCCGGATATTCTCTGTTCCGAGATTATTCGGCACAAGACGAAACGCGTCTTTGCTGCTCCCTCATCCAGACCCGTGTCTAGGGACGAGAGGCCGTCTTCCCGGGATGAGATGGCCTCTCAATCCTCGCGTTCCGAGAGCAAGGAACCTGACGTGGACGACGACGCCAGCGACGGAAATGAAACCGTCGTCCCTCCGCCCAAGAAGCGCGACAACGCCATCGCCTTGTCACAACTTTTGTTCATCGTCGGTCACGTTGCCATCAAGCAGATTGTGCATCTGGAGCTCTGCGAGCTCGATTTCAAGCGTCGCAAGCAGGATCAGGAGAAGGAAAAGACAGCAGAGAAGGCTGCTCAGGCCGCTGGTAAGAAGGACGAGCCTGACGACCTCGATCTGATCGGTGGCACAACAGAGGACGACTTCACGGAAGCCATGGCACACATTCGTGAGCGGGAGCTGCTGTACGGCCCAGCATCTCTGCTCGCCCAGTTCGGCCCTCTCGTCTCAGAGATCTGTGCCAACAACACCACCTATGCCGACAAGGGACTGCAGGCCGCTGCGACTCTCTGTCTCGCTAAGCTCATGTGTGTCAGCTCCGAGTACTGCGAGGCCAACCTGCCTCTACTCATCACCATCATGGAGCGTTCCACCGATGCCACTGTGCGCTCCAACGCCGTCATTGCGCTCGGAGACATGGCGGTGTGCTTCAACCATCTTATTGATGAAAACACTGACTTCTTGTACCGCCGTCTGGCCGACAAGGACCAGTCAGTCAAGCGCACCTGCTTGATGACTCTGACCTTCCTCATCTTGGCTGGTCAGGTCAAGGTCAAGGGTCAGTTGGGTGAGATGGCCAAGTGCCTTGAGGACGAGGATCGTCGTATTGCCGACCTCGCGAGGATGTTCTTCACCGAGCTCAGCACCAAGGACAACGCTGTGTACAACCACTTCGTCGACATGTTTAGTTTGCTGTCTGCTGAGAAGGCCTTGGAGGAGGAGAGCTTCAGAAGGATTATCAGGTTCCTCCTGGGCTTCGTTGAGAAGGTATGTTTTGTTGTCCTAATGCTGATGACCCTTTCTGACCTTTCCTGTAGGACAAGCATGCCAAGCAATTGGCCGACAAGCTCGCTGCCAGACTTCAGCGTTGCGAGACCGAGAGACAATGGAACGACGTCGCCTTCGCTCTCGGCCTACTGCAGCACAAGAATGAGGAGATCACCAAGACCGTCTCCGAGGGTTTCAAGGTGGTTCAACTCGCTGCGTAAGCTCAGATGGGACAGACAGGACAGGCTGGCCTTGTGGCCGTGTATATATAGGGTCATGGGTCGGCGTTGGCGGTTCAAGTTGGTTCTGGCTGGTTGGCTTTTTGACTTGCGTCACGCTGGGATACCACACACAGTATTGTACGGATGATGAGACTTAATGACGTTGATGAACTTGTTCACATTGGATACCGACTTCTAAAAACGTTTGATTTGCATTGGGTTCTGTGATTGCCGTTACCGTTACCTGCGATCTTGACAGTTGTTTGGGGTCGAAAGTTTTAGTAGGCCAAGGCGACCCCTGAATGAGAAGATCAGGAGTCGGCATGTCCGGACACCGTACAAATCGCACTCAAGAAGAATTTGTAGGAAAGCAGGGAAGACTACCATGAAAAGCGACCAAGCCACGCTGGAATCCGACAGAGAGCGCGTATTGCAGTGGCGATGCGACTTCCCGAGGTGTTCGGAGACTCGCGTTCTCCACTCAAGCCCCATCAAGAGACTAACAACGGAGTTCGATCACGATCACCAAGACGTGTAAACCGTGCAACGGAGACCGAACATGGGGATTTCACGGCGTACAAATAGTGGTTGGTCTCGAAGGTTTTGATTTCTGTGATTACTTTTTTACACGCTCGCTTCTGCGTCAGTCACTCATTTTCTTTCCTTATTAATAACCGTTCCGATTCTGGACTTAGCACCATGTTATTTTCGACATCATCAAAAGTGCTTTTAGCAGCTGCTGCGATAAGTCTACCAGATACCATTAGCGCTCGCTGGATTTCACCAAACTCAAAGCTTCTTGCCAAGTCGGCCCTTGGAACACCCCAAAATGACGCCATCATCTACGCGTCCAGCGGCACTACAACCCTCTCTTCCAACGGGACAGCTGCTTCTGTCGTGGTTCTCGACTTTGGCCGCAATGTCGAGGGCATACCTACCTTCGAGGTTGTGTCTGCATCTGGCGATACTTCCGTCTTTGAGATTTCGTACGGAGAAACCGAGGCAGCATTCAGCGTGTACATGGTGCGTTGTCCCACCCCCCTTTCTGACGACGACTTTGAGAGGTTCTCGCGGCTGACACGATCCAGAGCGATGGACCACTTCCCCTGGCGGCTGCGATGGACACTTACAGAGTCAACCGATACAACATCACCGGTCCCTCAATCATCTCCAACCGTCTTATACAAGGAACCTTCCGTTACCAAAAGCTCAACCTATCAACCTCGGGAGCCCTCACGCTACGCGACATCGGTGTCAAGCCCACGACTTCTACCACGGCACTGACCCAACTTCCCGGTTCCTTCGAATGCTCGGATGAAGACCTCACCAGAATATGGAGCGTGGGAGCAAGGACGGTGCAGCTGACCGAGATCCCCAAGAACTCTATCCCGGACTTTCTGAATGTCACGGAGGAGGGGGCCTATGCCGAAAGTGCGGCACCCCAGGCCCTGGGAAGTGCCGTTGCTGCCCAGCTTCTCAACTATCGCCTTGAATTTCGAGTCAAGCCTGTCAAGGGCGGATTTGGATTTTCCGTTCTGTCAGACACCTTGAACAACGCCATCTACATCTCCTTCGATCTCGACAAGCGCTCCATCACGGCTCATACTGGTTCGACCGCTTTAGATACCCAGATCGCTGCGGCTGATATCCCGGCCAACCTCACCCTGGCCCTCGGATCATGGCACTCTGTCCATGCCACAGTCGACATCACCGACGTCAGCGTCTCTGTCGACAACATCGACGTCCTCAAGCTCTCCCAGTCCGCCCGCTTCTTCGGCTCTTTCGGTTTCGGCGCCTCCCTAGGCCACGCGGCTTACTTCCAGAACATTACCGCAACCACGCCAACGGGCGACGTTATCTACACTCACCCTCTGACCGACTGTTCCTTCCTTGCCGACTTCTTCATGGGAGCCAACCCCGCCGACACCATCGTCGACGGCTCCCGACGGGACCGCATCGCTTACTCCGGCGACCTCGATATCGCGGTCGGAGCCGCCTTCGCCAGCACCTTTGGCACCTCCTTCATTGACGGATCCCTCGACCTCATCGGCTCGTACCAAGTCACTCCTGGCTTCTTCACCCCCACAGCCAAGATCCAGCAGGCGCCCCTGTCGGCTCCTCTGGACGTGAACGTCACCGGCCTGATTGGGTATTCGTTCAACTTCCTGACTGCCATCGCGCAGAACTACGAGATGAGGGGCAACCTGACGTTCGCCCAGACCTGGGCGCCCAAGGTTGTCAAGATGCTCGACTGGGCGGACTCGCAGACTCTGCCGAACGGCCTGTTCAATCTGGCAGAGGATTTCGGCGGTGATTGGAACTACTACGATCCCCCTCAGTCTGGCGTCGTGACGAAGTTCAACGTTGTCTACGCGTACTCTCTGCAGCAGTGTTTGAGGCTTCTTGAAGACGCCGGTGTTGACGTCGCCGTGTACCAAACCCGACTTGACCGTCTGAGAGCTGCGATCAACGAGAACCTCTGGAACGAAGAGTTGGGAGTCTACATCATGTCCGAGAAATTCACAACCGGGTTTTCGCAAGACGCGAATGCACTTGCCATCCTCGCTGGCGTCCCTGGGGCACCCACCAACGGGTCATCGGCCCCACTCCGGTCCGCGTCCTCCATTCTCTCCGCTATGGCCTCCGGACTCGCGGCCCCGGCCGGGGCCCTCGCGTTTTCCAATGCCACCGTTGCTGCCGGCTGGGCCGAGAAGGTAAGCCCATACGCTGCGGCCTACCACCTCCGTGCAGCGTTCGAGTCAGGCGACGCCTCATCCGCCATGATGCTGCTCAAGAAGACCTGGGCACCGATGGCAGACCCAACCAACGCAAACTACACTGGCTGCTTCTGGGAGACGCTCAACGCGGACGGCACGCCGGGGCTGGGCTTGGTGACGTCGCTTTGCCATGGATGGGCGGCGGGCTCTACAGCGGAGCTGAGCAAGCATGTTCTTGGTATTCAGCCAACGGTACCTGGATTTGCCGGATGGAAGGTCGAGCCACAGACAATGGGCCTCCAGTGGGCCAAGGGTCGTGTCCCGACCGTGTTGGGGGACTTGGCTGTCGGCTGGCGGTTTGAAGGTGGGCTGCTGCGGATGAAGGTCGAAAGCCCCTCCGGAGGGAACAGGGGTACGGTGTATCTGCCCCAGCCGCTCCCAACCCCGATTGAGAAGACCGTTATCCGCATCAACGGCGTTGTCGCCAACGGGTCTGCCTTTGAAGTTGCGGGAGGGGACGCATTCGTATTGACACAGGACTTTTCGCATTGAAGAGACGGGACCCATTCCTCAAAGTTTTACGCAGTCAGTGAACAAACCTGTGCCCTTTCTTTTGGTTCTACTGCGGTACGCCTCCCAGCATGGAATAGATGCATGTGTACTCGCACGCAGATCGAGTATCGATATGATGTATATACTGTGGAAGTAGACAACATGCAAGAGGCTAAACGCCATTCTCCCAGTGTTTCGGTCAGGGTTTTTCTTCGTCATTCTTCATCGCGCTCGTCATTATGAGTGCCGTTCTTACCAGGATCATCTTTCCCACCCTCCCCGCGATTGTCATCCTCGCTTGCTGTGCAGGATGCAACTTCGTCTGATACTACAATGAAGTAGCGACTGTCCACCACGCAAGATGCATACTACACTGTCCCGGCATAAAGGTTGGAGATGGGTTCAAAATGCCAAAGCCAAAGCGGCCGCGTTCAGTGCATCTCCGTCGCTTGCGATTGGAGGTGGGAATCTCAAGGTATCACCGCGCAGAAAGTTGCCGTCATGAGCGGAGACCCCTCCATTGTGCAGCACGCCTGCAGAAGCGCACGCCTGCAGGTTCAATCTGGTCTCTGAGTGGATTGTCACCTTTCCCGGTCGGCCCCCCCTGGACGGAATCCCCGCCGTTTTAGACGTCCATCCAGACCTCGGAATCGACGCCGGGGCACATTGACCAATCAAAGACACCGGAGGCCGTCCGGCTGGCTATTGTTCAATCTCTGCTTTGAGAGGTGTCCCGCTTTTTCGTATGACACCTGGGAACGGCATGTTCGTCGCACATCCACACACCCGCGCGGGACTCTTCCGTCACCGTAGCGTTCCCAATGGCCCAACGAGAATCACGAACTCAGAGCCCCCAGAAGAGTATCCATCCTGGGGGCCAAACATTAGCGCCCTCTGACTGGACAGATGAGCCCGGAGTTCATGGCGGCTCTCCGTTCTCAAGGCATTGGGTGTCTACTGATATCAAAATCGCCAGACCTGGATTTGCCTCCGGACGAGTAAGGGCCCTCTCACCGATACCTGCCCGTGTCCTCGCATCCTCGTCTTCCCATTGAAATGGCCAATCAATCCTGTGCGCTAATCTGTAGGCGCATTGGCAAACAAACGAGCCTTTGCCCTGGCCCAGGGGCGAAATAGACATGCCGTTCAACCAGTCTAGACATGAGCCCGAAATGCCGTCTCAGAAGGGCGCGCTGTTCTCTTCTTGCATCAATGGTACCAAACATTCCTTCTCGTACGAGGACACGTTCCCCCAAGTATCATGTACCAAGTATCATGTACAGAAGAGGGGGCTGGATCCTCCTGGCTGGAGATATCGATTCAAGGACAGACGTCACCTGTGGTTCAGTCTTACAAACCCGCGTTGCATGGGCCCGCTGTTCTAGTCACAGTCTTAAAACGTCAGTTGGGAATTTTTGCGTCGATCGTCTGCTGCGGAGGAGAATCCTACGCAAACAGTCAAAACATATAAGGTTGGCGGTTTCCTCAGCCTCATGTTTTCCATGCTAGGAACATCAGGAACCGCTCCCTGAAAGTCAAAAAAAGGTCACCTGGTAGTGTTAGCTCCAGAACTTTGGCTCGGAATCTGTCACGCACCCGCCAACCCTTTCAAAGCCCCCAAGGACCACCGCCCAGCAACAGTAGCACGCAATACCAACGAGACCCCCCCGGGCTGAGAGCCGCGACCACAGCTATACTTGAATTCGATCGTTGTAAAACACACATAGATCAAATACGACGTAAGTTGTTTGTCTGAGCGGCGCACATACGAAACGTCACTAATCTTCCAAGCATAGGCTATGGCGAGAAGGCTGGAAGCAAAGCCCGGGTTTGAAATGAACACAAACCCCAAGCCATCAAGAGAATGTATTCGTGAAGCTTGCGAGAATTGTCGCGAGAAGAAGGCGAAGGTATATGGTCTCACACTTGTGCAGTCTACTCGGCCCAGGAATTAACAGGTTGCTTCCTAGTGCAATGGAGAAACCCCATGCTATCGATGCATTTGCAGGCGCCTGGAGTGCAGATACGAACCTCGGCGGATCCGTTCCAAGCGCAGTCTGCAGGCTGAACTCGATGTCCTCAAGGCTGCGCAACACCAGAAAGACGCCGTAATTGCGGCGCTGTCAGTCCCAGGCCAGAGCATGGAGGTGCTCCGGCGACTGTGGACGGGCGAGCCGCTTGAGAGTATCTACGAGACTCTTGGGTGTCGTAAGGTGTTGCCCTCATCCGAGGCTTCAAGCTTCCACTCAGACGCAGCCCAAGGCCTCACTGCCCCGGGCCAGCCACCGACGACCGCGTTCAGTACCTCATCTTCGTCTACGCCTACCCAGGCGTGGTCTAGCTCCCCGCTAGCTATGGAGCAGACAGCAAACTCCATGGGCGAAGACACGGGAACCGATCACCATGGAGGCGAGGTGGGCTACGATGAACACGTCGCATCGGAGTACTCCAACGAACAGGTCGGTGGCTCGATGCTCGACTACAGCGGTTTCATGAACTTACCTTGGAATGGAGCCTTCAATCACTTTGGAGTCGGAGCTCCCAACTACGACCCAAACATCCCTTTCGGCGACTCCACACATGTTCAGCAGTGTGATGCCAACATACACCACTTTGAGAACGTCTCATTTCCCAACGAACCCGAGTACCTGAGAAAATCCTCGAGCAGCACTCAGAACAGCCAAACGACCTTCTCAAACGGGTCATCCATTGAGTCCATGCTTTGGCCAGGCTCTGAAGACATGTTTCCCCCCTCGAGCGACCCTGCACACGCGCGCCCCGGCCTGCCGCCAATTGCATCACCGATAACGATCAGTTCGACCGGGTCTCGCCCTGCCTCCCGCGAAGCAGTTTGCAAAAGCCCGGCGAAGAACCCGTTTCGATCACCAAGAAAGCAGACAACCAAAAGCGAGGTTCCTTTCCGACCTCGCGCGAGAAAGCGGAGTTTCAACGAGGAAGCCCCCTTCTCAAGATCACCAAGCTTCACAGAGGATGACACGCAGACGTCGAGAGAGCAGAGCGTGTACCCTTCAGACTCGTCACAGTCCCGCAAACGGCACCGCACCGCCTCGGCGCGCAGTTACAAGAAGCAAAAGGACCAGATTGAATTCATGAAGGCGGTCAAATTGGATGTCGAAATCCGCAACGAGGAGCTGAAGAAGGAGCATGCGGAGCTGTGGCACCAAGTGCTAGCGATCAAGAACGCGCTCATGGGCCACGCTGATTGCAAACACCCGACAATCAACGCCTGGCTACAGGCAGAAGCTGCTGACTTCGTTCGTGACGGCGTCAATAGCCACAGTCGCAAGGCGGGAACATGGCCAGTCGGCCAGTAGGATAATTGGTCTGGGTCGAGGTGGTCAGCAGTAAGGCGAGAGAGCTGCATGCGAGTGACAGCGAAATGTCTGTCATATTCAATCCTAGGAAGGTCCTACATTGAGTGGGGAAGAAGCTAAGGTAGGAGGCGTTGGGAATGGGATGTGGGTGGTGGACCACAGGCTTTGGTGATTCTAGCGTGGAGTCGAGGTCACATAACGGGTACAGCAAGCGAAATGCTGTTTGAGGCAATTGCCTAGCTAGGCGTTTGGTAGCTCGCTGGCTTTCTGATACTGTCGTTTGTGCGGATAGCTTTCCTGTCATGACAATCAAAAATTCCTTGATTTCAAGCCCATGCAGCGGGTCTCGTGCGTCAACTCCCCCAGATAGATGCCCGGTATCTCGGCGACATACCGGGATTCACGGTTCCATATCTGTGCAATGACTAGATTCAGATCAACTTGGATACCTTAAACAGAAACTGCGGTGCTTGCCAGGAGACGTCCCGGCAGGCAAGTCAATCGTGTCAGGGTGGATGGACCCTTGAGCCCTGACGGGATGAACCCTTGGAAAACGGTCAGACCCCACCGCTGCCACCACGTTTTCCGGTGAGATCCAAGGTTGGGATGCTCGAGACTTGGCTGCTGGGTCTTGTTGGCTTGATCCTGGCTCTGAAGGCAACGCCCTTGTAGCAGGAGCGTCCCATCAGGCCTGGGAACAAGTTCAACCTCGCCCGCATCTCTCACAACCAGGGCCTGATGAGCAGGCCATAAAACCCACCGCGCAGATGGAGTTCCTTCTGCCATGACCAACTGGAATACGGTCGAGTGGGGTTGGTTTTTCAACGTCGACGGTAGGGCGGAAGAGACGAAGCCCCTGATTCGGAAGGTTTGGATCAGCACGGCGGACCTCGGAATGGGGGACTGACAGGGCCACTCAACGTCCAAAAAAGATACATACCCGTGGAAATCGAAGGTACTGAGGGCATGTCTTGTTCAGTTTTTACGACGCCCAGTGAGGTCGTCTGGACGAGTTCGATGATTGGTTGTCGGGATGCACTCCGTGCCACGACCCAGACTCGTCGGAGTCGACCCCGCCCCGGAACCACCTTCCCGCCCATCCTGCCACGTAATCTCGGCCTTGTACAACCTGACATCTTGGGAAAAGGTTGCAAGATACATCTGTCAAATGTTTGTCTTCTGACAGGCCATCACCCCCAACGCAGTTGAGACACGGTCAGCTGTTTTGGTACCCAAACCTCCTTGAACTCGCTCGGCAATCGAGGTCATAATATTACGGACTCTTCCGCGTCCCACTGCTAAGAAGTCCTTTCTACGTATAATCCAAAGTTGCAAGGGTCGGGGAACGGGCACAACAACATTCAGAGGCCATCACTTGGCAGACGGATTGAATGAGGCAGACCCTGTCTCGGTTCATCAAGAAAGGGTAAACGCACAGCACCTTGATGTCTTGTGGGAACAGATACAACGCTCTCGACTTTTCTGCTGTGCCATTTCTCTGCTGCCGTAAGGCGATACCCTCAAATGTCATCTCCACTGACGCCATGGCGAGCGACAAAGATATGCGTCGATAGATTCGATTGAACAACATGTAAGTCGAGCTGTCCATAGGAAATCAGCTTTTTAGCTAGGCATAGGCGCCATCCCATGGCAAGTAAATTACAAGCAACGTCAACAAAAATGACGACAAGGACGACAATGGCAGCGCTGGCCCGAAGACTCAGAGTTATATGAATCTAACGTACAAAAAGAAGACCGCATGGAAGGATACTGAGCCCGGCTAAAAAGCTCCCAGAATATTGACCGCTACATCAACCGATTCACTTGTGGAATCTGGACCCCCACCTGTTCTCCGACACCGAAGCCGCCCGGGATCCACTCAGCGCCGATAGCTTCCGGGGCTAATATGTTAGTCCCCGGGTTTCATAGCCAGTATGACCCATTAGACCTGGAATTCTTATTTCAATGGGTCAGTTCACATGCGAAAGATATGAGCCAGTAGAGCGGGTTTTGAACGTATTATGCACCCATGTCCGCTTCCCAGCGCCACTTTTCGCCACGTCTCGTCAGAACGTGAACACTGCCAGAGCTGGGTGGCATACCGTACGAACGTCTTAAACGAGATACTACAGAAGGATCCTTCCAAAAAGTATCTCGGCCAGGAAAGTGTAGACGGGTAGCATATGACATCGTTCGGTTGGCGAGAACGGACTCTCCACCTGTATCAGACGAGTTCCAGACGGACGAATATTATAGGAAAAGACAGACTTAACAAGCTGTTTTGATGTTAGTGATTCACTTTAAAGTTCTATGTTGTTCTCGCTGTGAAAGGCTAAGGTCAAGAGCTGCCGAACGAGGCGCCTAATACCGGTGCCTTAGACGAAAAGCAGACGATATCCTTGGACTGATGTCTCTGTCACTTTGATCTAACACAGCAGACCTTTTGTTTGTATGCCAGTTATAGAGTTGATAACTACAACTTTTGTCGCATATCAGAGCGCTCAAGCGGCCGCCGTTTTTATGTGGTTGCCGCGATAGGAAGAGGTGCCAACGATTTCCGACGCCATTTTCATCTCCGACTAATTCTCTAACATCATGAGAGCCATAACGGCAACTATGTAAAGTCATAAAGCATGAAAGCTTTTGTAGATCGACATCCGTCAACATCCGATCCCACGTAGGATTACGACAAGGGTGACAGGACTCAGTGTAGTCATACGGAGGGATCCAAGGCGTTGCAAGTCTGCTTCGTGGGCATTCGACACATTGCACAAGCTCAAGTTCGGGACGACTCCCAGCCAGGAATGTCTTGAGCGTCGTAGACGTGCAGCTTTGATATCCAGCCTCCAAGCACGCATCACTCCCTAGCGACTATTACAAGTCTCTGCGGCCCCAGAACGTCCTAAGACACTCGTCGATGCATGGAGCTGAGGCTATTTTACGAACCGACATGATGCCCATCGGCGCGTCTACAGGGGTCAGACGAGCGCGTCAGGTTTCAGAACTTACGACAAGATGACGAGAGCCTCAAAAGGCACGAGACTTCGGTGATGCCAGGAGGCTTGGCTTTGAATGGCACCGATCGAACGGCTCGAATACGTTCGACCATTGTTACGACAGCCATATTCAAGAAATCGACTGGTCAAGTCCTAGACTTGCTTTTTAAGCCCTCGGCCCCCCTCTCGCATCGATCCCCTATGCTTCACTGCATTTTTACCCTGCCCAGGGGGACTATGAACTTGGTGAGGGGGTGCCGGCACACTCTCAGTCCGAACCAGGCCGCCGTTGGATATTCGTCACGATCATCTCACACGGATAATGGCAACCCACTTGATTCAACATGTCATCTCGATTCTCTCCATCTCGAAAAGGAATCATATGTACACGCTAGCTCACGCCAGCCATCCCCACCTCAGCACACTTCTTTCACCCATCCCTCGCCTTTTAAGACTTGTTCTGCGGCACAACAGCAAAGGTAGGACGGACAAATCTGTAGCATACCCTCATTAGCATCTCCTCGTATTCCCGCAGACCCCTGCAGGGCTTTGCTGAGGGATGGACAAACCTGTCGTTGTGGTAGACCTTGGTGTTCTCGCCGAGCAGCTCCTTCTCTCTCGCCTGGTCGGCGTAATACCTGCGGACCTGGTCGCGGTCCTCCTCAGCCTGGAGGAGCGGGATGAGGTGGATGCGCGCCCACATCTTCTCTCTTGCGAGCTCGCTGTTGCGCATACGCCGTCAGCATTTCCGTCTTTTTGGCGGGGATTTTGTGCATGATATATGCCCTTGTCGAAAGATATCCAACAACCCGTGAAACAAAATGTAGGTACCGTTCAACAGCTCGGACTAGGCATCCTGGGGGCTTCAAGGTGGAAAAGGTGTCGCAACGTACTTGGCTTCCCGGATACCCTTGATCAGGTGGTACCATCCGTATCCCATCACGAGTCCCATACCAAGCAACATGGTGCCAGGGCGGAAACCACGGGAGGGCAGGTTGCGCTATTCGGAGACAAGCAGTCAGCGTACAATCCTCTGCATGTCCGCGATTCTCCCTTGATGCTGCTCCAAATGCCTCCGTTCCTGGCCTCGAGCCCGCAACTCCGTACAACGCTCCCCAATTCTGACGATATCGCTCCAGCAGGTAACAGCCCCTCAAGTTCCTCCTCTTGCCAGTGCGTTACCGTCCCATCGCATCCGCCATCCCAATCGCGATCCCCCTCTTCCGGCTCTCCCACCTTGGCATTGCATCACCTGCCTCCTTCCAGCAATTCCACTCACCTTGTACTGCACGGCCTGGTAGCCGCCAACGGGGGGCATGTCCTGAGGCATCCTTCAATCAGTCCTACCGACCCTTCGCGGTCGGCTGCGCTCAATCGATAAGTGTGTGGTTGCTGTGGGTTGTGGTTTTCGCGGGGGAGTCGTCGTCCCTCTTTCAATTGTCCCTTCGTGCGTGTGGGAGTCAATTGGCCGGTTTCGTTTCGGCTCGTTCGAGAGGCTTGCGATGTACACCGGTGTCGGTCCGTCTGGGGGGGTGGTGGGTTGCGTTGGTTGACGTCGGTCGAGCTCGAGATTCTGGGTCAAGCTTTGGCCTGGCTGAGGGTGCCTGAGGTGATTGTTTTCGGGTCGATTGTGATTCGCTCGATTGGCCGGGATTATGTAAGGTTGTCGGTGATGCCCCACCAGACTGTGTACACCGAAGCTCACCCTGTGTTGACCGAGGTGACTGCCCCTCAACAATGAAGCACCTCTCACTGTGACTTTCACTCGATTGGAGAAGACGGGAGAATGCATTTTAGTTTTGCTGAGTTTTGAACTAGCTTAGGCCGTGATGCAAATACCGCCCGCTGCCGACTGTGCATCTGGTCGTCTATTTGAAATCCCATATCCACACTGTAACCATAAATCCCCCTACAGATATTTGCACGTCTCAACTCCTTGCCATGCATCGCCAATGGAAAAAAGGCTGGGTATAAACCGAATGAACCATAGCCAACCGACTTTTCCACCTCTGCGAGGATCCTCCAGTTGCCGTGTTGTCTTATATGCATCTCATGGATAAAATTTTGAACAGAACTCGCTAATCTTCCCCAGCCGCCAACAACTCGGCTTCCAAGTCCGCCTCGAGATCGTCCTCGTCAAAATCAGCCCCATTGTCCAGGTTCACTCCTCCATCCGGCACGAGGGAAACATCCTCCTCGTCGCCTGTAACCTGCGGTGTCGGCAGGCTGCTTGATTCGTTGTCGTCGGCATTTGGCGTCCTCACCGAGCTCAGCTTCGAAGCGCCCCGGCTCTTGGCCACTCGCTGCTTCTTGGAGAGTGCACTGCCGCCTTCATCTGACGCGTTGTCATCGTCTACGGCCTTTCTCTTCGTGCCACCGGCTGAATTGCTCGACTGCTGAGACGAGGGTAGTTCATCGCCAGACTCCGTGTCTCCGCTACGGCTCTCCGTGTCGGCGTCCGAGCTGTCGTCGTCGCTGCCCAAGAATTCCTTCATCTCATCATCGACACCTTCCCAGTCGAAAGTTTTGAGACCGTCTATTGGGCTGAGCTGGCCATCCTCGAATTCAGGCAGCAGGTTCTCCTCGCCTCCATCCTGCCCAGCGTCGCCCTCGTCTTCGTCTGATGCATCGTCGTCTTCTTCTAGGATGCGCTGCTCCCCGGTCTCGTCAATGATGGTGAGGTGCGGTTTTGATTGATCTTCACCATCCACGTCAGATACCATGTCGGCGTCGGTCGTTCCTGGGGCAGCAATGTGCCTTCGGTCTGCGGGATGGACTTCGACAAGGTATGGTGTCTCGTCAAGGCGATGCCATTGGCTCAAGCAATCAGACAGCCAGTTCTGGCTCACGATTTTGATGCTGGAAATTCTCGCCGCCTGGCGTACCTTTTGTGTGCGTGGCCGCGATGTTGAGATGACTAGATGCGTTACCTTGGGCGACACCTTGGTCTGAATCTGAGCGCCAAAGCTCATGGCTTGAATTCCGATTTCGGACTGCAGGACATCAACACCAAGAGGAACCAGGCCGGACAAGACAATCGTGGTGCCTTCGAGCGTTGACGCCTTCATCGTGTCCAGGACATATCCTACATCGGGAACAGCGGCAAGGTCGACGGTCTCCTCGCCCTTCTTCTTAGGAGGGGTTGACTGCTGGGGCGCGGCTGCACGCTTCTCGTCGTACTCCTTGTAGAACCTCTCATGGAGACGAGTGAGGTGTTGTTGTAGGTAAATCAGCTCCGCGTCATCGTCGCGGAGAACCTGCGATCGGTGTTGCACTATCATAATGTGCTCGCCATCTTCAGTCTCCTGTGTCGCCTTCTCCTTCTCTTCGCTTTCCTTGTCCAGCTGCTCTTGCATGTGAAGCAGAGGGCGGTCCTTGATCTGCTGCTCCAAAGACTTTTCCTGCTGCTCTGTCTGCGCGGCTTGCAAGGCCTTATCCTCCCCGCTGCTCATGCTGACCAACTCGTCGATGGCCGACACTTTGCCGTTCGTCTTTACCTCGGGTGCGGGTGCAATCGGGGTGGGCTTGACTTCGGGGTCGGCAGGCGCTGGGAGAATGTCTTGACGCTTGGGCAAAAAGCTCGAGTTGATGTCGCCGATGCCCCTGAAGAAGTCATAAGGGACGACCTTGATCAGGTTTGGTCTATTACGGGGCCACACATCGGCTCTGTCGTCGATGATGACCACCATATTGGTGTTAACCGGGAACAGGCGCTGGAGACTTTTTGATATCATGCTTCCGTTCTCGTCACGGCTGATTACTCGGTTGCCGAACAGTTTCCTATCGGGGTCGACGATCTGGGCGATGTTCATCGCATACGCACGAGTTCCCATGGTGTACACATGGAGTTCGTACAGTTCTGATATCTTCTCAAGGAACTCCTTCAACCCAGGTCGCATCTTGATATAGTACCAGCAGCCTGATGTGACCACGCCTCTGGGCCCCTCGTCATTCAGTTGAAACTTCTTGACATCCTTGACGGCGTTGTAGTTGGGATTTGTCGGGTCCTCCATCCATTCGCCGACGGTAGGTTCGATGCAGGCGTGGATGATGGTTTGGTCGAGATCCACGACGAGGCTGAGCTTGCGCTGGCGGAGGAGGCGCTTCTGGGTATCGTGCTCGGCGCGCGCAGCGAGGTCGCCGCTGACCATGAGGCCAGTCTGGTCGTGTGTCATATTGATGGTGGCGCGCTGGGTATCGCGCTGGTCGCTGGCCCAGTTGACCTCGGTCATGTCCTTGCCGCAAATGGCGCAGAGGCCCTGGAACTGGATCTCGTGAGAGCAGGCCTCCTCGACAACCATGCATGGCGCGTCGCGTGTGAAGGTCATGCCCTCCTTGAGGCGCCATTCTTTGATGGTGCCCTCGGCAGGACTGTCCCAGCCGACGACTGTTGTCTCCTCCTCCTGCCATGTGTTGCCGGCGATGGGGTCGCCGACCTCGCGCATCCACTTGAATGAGTATTCAAGGACGCTCTCCTGTTTTGCGACAGCGTCGCCGGGTTTCTTGAGGATTTTTGTGATTGTAATCGGGTAGCGCAAGCGCGCGCCGAGAGATAGTAGCTTACCCATGGCGATGGGTTACTAACTGGGAGGACTAGTTAAAAGTCTGTTGCGAAGAAAAGGTAAAAGTCAGCTCTGTTGGTGGTATAAGACGCGTGCACAGGGTGAGGGCCTGGGTCGAGGGGAGGTGGGTGCCAGTCTGAAGGGAGCGACGATGGGATAGTTCGCAATTCAATGACGACGGCAAAGGCGGGATTGAAAAGCAAGTTCAACGACTAACCTAAAGGGACTCCCCCAGTCGCGGTCAAAGAAGGTGCCGGTGATGTCTCCAATCCCATGGCCCCTAAGCTATGCGCGTCGAGTGGAAGAAACGCAACAGGCAGAACAGCTCTGGAGCGTTGCGCGACAGTGCGCGGTTAACAGGAACAGTGATTTTCGAGTTGACTTGTTCTGAATATGGGAGAGAGAGATGGCAGATGAATAGGCGCGGGAGTTCGGAACGAGTTGGAGAACCCGGCCGAGTCGAGATCTGAACTCTTGGGTGTCTTGCGGCGCAATTGACTTTGGCGACGGATGACGCAATTGGACGAAAATGTGCGTTTGCACAACGACAGGTGCTGCTGTCGCAAGTGATTGAGCTGATGGTTGATTGCTTTGGCTCGTGTATTTCCGAGCCGGGCGTTTGCTTCTTGTCGAAGGTGTTGTGTCGTTGGATGGTGGAAGAGTTGGAGCTTCGGATTTCTGGTGGTGGAGGCGTCTGGACCTGGACGGATTGTGGATGCAGGTAAGGTACCTCACGCTAGGTGGATGGCGGAGGACAGGTGGGTCTGCCTTGCTGGAGCGTGCTGCTGCGTGACGCAGGCTGCAAACGGAAAGGGTAGGTAAGGCAAGGTGAGGTCCGGTAAGGAAGGGCCAACCGGCGAGTCCAGGCGTTGCGGAGTGGGGTCGGGTGTCGCGGTAAGAGCACGGACCAGGAGAGCCGGAGATCCGGAGACTGATTGTTCCGGGAGACGCTCGGACCGTTATGCGCTCCGTCGGGGATGTGGGGCACAGCTTCAACGAGTGCCGAGGGGCTCCCTAGGTTAGGTGCACCTTGGGAAGCTTAGGTCTAAGGTAGGCAAGGCACACGGTACCGTGACACTGACTGAGCAGTTGACCTGAATGAAAGTTCTCGTTTCCTTTTCTTACCTCGGCGTCTTCGGTGATCGGGCTCCGATGGGTTGCCAAGGTGAGAACACGAAAGGGATATGTGTCGTAAGAGCTGCAAGTGGTTGACGGTATTGCAAAGCGACTCAATGGTTGATGAGCCGAGCTGGTGTCGGAGAAGTAGATGCTCTGGCTTTTGTACGGTGTCCAGCTTGACTGGTGGTTGTCGTGGTGGTGAGCTGTGGTGTGATGGATGAGCGACGGGCAGTGGTGTTGGCGATGCTGGATAAGACACGCTCAAGAGAGAGGTACCGGTACAAACGAGGCAGGGTACACGTCGCGTGGCGGCAAAGTAGCGTCACTCAGGCCAAGGGAAGAACCAGGAAAGCACCTAGAGGGAAAAGGGCAACCACTATCAGCCGTGCCACCCCCTTCTGAAAGAGTGGGATGCTCTGGCCTATTTGTACCTGCCGTAGCACCCAGCCGCCTGTCGAGCTGATGGCACCAGCCGCCGCCAAGTGGTCGACAGGTGATCCCTGCCAATTCCTCCTCCACACCCCTTCCCTTGACTTGACTGAAGCTGAGAACTGCTCCTGCTACCCACTGCGCAGTGCTGCACAGCTGCAGGAGCTCTTGCTGTTGCTGTTGCTGTGAGATCCCCCAGCATCCATGCTCATTGCATTGCTGCCCCTCTCCACCACCTCCACCACTCACTCACTCACTCACTCACACAACCATTGCCGCCGTCATCATGTAACGGCACCCATCGTGGATCACGTGCACTTCATCACACCCATCAAAGACCCAGCTCTTGGAAGCTGTGAAGACCTGCCTGCATCTTCTCTTTATCATAATGACAATGAACACTTGCTTTCCATTGAGATCAAGGGTACCATCCGCTGCCATGAGAGCTCCAAAGAGGACTCCTCCTCATCTGCCCGTCCACCACATCCGGGGCCAAGCTCAGTCAGCTGTGGTACCTGGCTGAGCTCAATACCACCTGCATCCATGACTCTTCTTCCATGGGTGGTGGCGTGAACTTGCCCTCTCACATGAGCAGCCTTCCCTCCCCACCATCTCCTGATCTCGTCAACAGTCAAAAAGCATCCCACTGCCCCAGATCCTCTCGGACCCTCCCACACTTTGATGGCTTATGGATTGCCCTATCGAGATCTCGGCTCCGTTCCCCACAGCCCCGGATTGCTGCATCCATGTGGCGTGAGAGACGAGCAACAAGGAGTATTTCGCTGACATGTCGTGGCTTTTCCGGGGCAATTAATCAGTAACTATTCTTCAACTCGTAAATACCTATATAAGGCGCATCGAAGATCAAATCATGTTCAAATGGCCTAGAGGATGCTGACGGGTCAATGTCTCCAATAAACGTGTATCCCATAGTCTACGTCTATGTGACTAATAAATGCCAAATAAAGGCGCGCAATTGCATTCAAGGCCTCGCATCAAGTCAAGGGTACTAGTTCAACGCACATTGAACATATTGAGCAGAAGCTGCACAACATTATCAAGGGCTAAACACCAAGGTCATGTGCAGCCTCGAGATCTTCAACTTGAAGAATGCCATCAAACGGGTTTAAAACAGCAAAGTCATGATCGAGTATTAATGTACTCTCTATCCATGAGTATCAGTGCCATGCCATGGACCTCAGTGCCTCTTCGTCACACCATCACCAAAGAATCAACCAGTCGTCAGTCCTGATCCCCCCAGACGCCGAACCAGAAAAAAGCAACCAATCCCCCCTGATTGTCTAGGCCCAAACGCCAAACTTGTCCTGACCTTGGTCGTCGTGATCAACCCATGAATACTCACCAGAAATACTCCCACTCCCACTCGCCCTCGCCGAATTTGCTGGGAGAAGCTGGCGGGGTAGCGTCCAGCAAGGCCTCCCTCAAAGCACCGTGGTCGACTTCCTAAGCAACCGGCTGCGCCGAGGGGGACTTGAGGGCCCGGGTGCCCAGCGGCTTCGAGTCCGACGCCCCGGGAAGCGCTCCCATATCTGACAGCTTCTTAGTAGTCATGTCGGGGTCCGGCTCATCTTTTCCTATAAACGTCCAACTCTCCTCAGCTGACTCCTCGTCATCGTCCGGCTCGACGTGGGCGTTCTTGCCAGCCTTGCGCTTGATCAGGCTCTTCGCGTACTCCATATCTCGGTAGATGCACTGAATAGCAGTTTCCACACCGTTTTCCTGATTGTTTGTCAGCATCAAGTTGGCCATATCCGGCTGCGAGCTCACTTACACTGCGAATCTGCTCGCCAAGCACACGAGCCTTCACAATCATACGGTCGTTGTGTGTCGCCTCCCACAACGCACGAGCAAAAGAAATGGCACCCCATTTCTTCAAGCAAATGCCGACGCCGATGTCCTCCACTCTACTGCCGAAGAAGAACTGGTCGCCAAAGAAGGGTCGGATGATCGTGGGAATGCCGGCCCGCAAGCTGGCGCCGGTGGTGCCAGAACCACCGTGGTGGGCGGCCGCATCAATCTGGGAGAACAGCCAGTCGTGGGGTGCACTCTTGATGACATGAATCTCCGGCGGCATGACCGGCTCTTCCTTCACCGGACCAGTATCGTCGCCTTGCTTGATGCGATCCGACCAACCCTTGGACAAAATGCAGCGGACATCCGCCTTGAGCACAGCATCAATTACCTCCTGCGTCATCTTTGCCGTGTCGTTCACAATTATGGAACCAAAACCGACGTAGACAAGCTTCTTCTCGTCCGCCCGTGCCTTGGCAATGAAGTCGGTGAGCTCCTGAGGCGGCTTCCAGTCCGATCCCTCGTCCAAAAACCAATAGCCAGTGACGCGGATCCAGTCTGAAAAGTCCAGAGGCGGTGCTACCACATACTCGGAGAAGTTGTAGAGGAAAGGCACCTTGTTAGGCTGCATCTTCTCCAGGTTAGTGTTGGGCAACTTCAACGTGTTGTTGCGCCATCGGTTGACTTGATGAGCCGTTGCCTTCCAGAAAATGTTGTCAAACATGACATAAGTCATGTAGTTGTACGCACCACCCATCTTGTATTCGGGCATGACGAATGCGTGAGGGTAGGCTCTGGTTCGGGTCCACGGCATGGTGAAGGCGCGGAAGTAGGGAATGGACAACTTCTCAGCGATGTGAATGCCGGCCATGGCGCTGGGGCTCTCAATGAGAAGGTCGGATCCCTGGCAGGCCTCCCACGCTGACACCAGCAACTCATCCAGCCAGCCTCTGAACATGGAGTTTGCCTCTCTCAAAAAGGCCCAGGTGAAGGTGCCGTTCTCAATGCAAAGTCTCATCAACTCACCCGGGTCGCCGTCGACCTTAGCAAACTCGATACCGTGACTCTCGATCCAGCCCTGAAATTCGGCATGGGTTGCAATGCGAGGCTTGTGGCCCTCCGCGAGAAGACCCTTGCACAGCGCGATGTAAGGCTGCACATCGCCTCTGGAACCGATAGTCAAGCAAGTGATCTTGAGCGCGTGGGGAGGCTTGAAGTTGAGGAAAGACGCCTTAGGATCGTCGAAGAGAATCGTTGGCGCGTCGCTGATGTTGGAGCTCTGCTTCGGCATCCGCAATTCGTGGTCATTGTACTCCTCGACTTGACGGGCCTCCTTCAGGGCGTCGCGCTCGGCCATAGCGTTCTCTTCGTCTTCTTTCTCATCCAAGTCCAAGTCTCCCGTCTCTCGCAGATAACGAGTGGTCTCCAGGCTCTGCAACAGTGTGACGGCGCAATCGTCTCTGATCTCGGCTTGGCCAAATTCGAAGAAGACTTCTTCATGGCCGCGAATGACAACGACCAAGCCCGAGTAGCCAAATCTGAAGCCCTTCTCCTTGTCAACATTCTCAATGTCCTTGAGCGGCAGAATAAGCTTTGTCCGGGTTCCAGGCAGCAGGCTCCTGAAGCAAAAGGACTTGTCGCTAATGTAGATCTTGCCATAGAGTGGCAGAACCCGCAAGATGTAGCCAAAGTACGTGGCTTGCAGCTTCTCCGTCTCAGGCAGGGCGAAGTGGGCGCGGAAGCGATCCATGGATGTCTGGATCTTGCCCTCCGCATCCTCGTACAGATCCTCGTCGTCTGTCTTGATTTCAGGGGGGGCATCGTAATGCTTTCGGCCACCTCGCCACATTCCAGACACCTTCTCCACGTAACCCATAGACTCCGTGGCGAGCATCGAGCCTAGCTTACCGCTGGTGCTATTCAGATACTGGGCGAAGGCCCCAACTCGCTGCAGGGGAAAGGCGCCCATCTTTGTAATGCTTTGCAAAGTCGGAGTTGCCGGCGGCTTGTCGCCATCTTGGATAGATCCGGTCGTCGCAGCATGCTGACCGCTGTAGGCCGCCAAGGCAGGGGGGCTCTTGTGTTCGCGACGCTGCTGCTTGTCGAGCTCGGTTCGAGAAGCTGAGGCTGAACGGCGCATTGTGGGGTTCTGGAAGACATCGCTACCGCGCAGAATCTGGCTTGCGGAAGGGTCCTCGTTGGATGATGCGACCATGCCAGAAAAGCTGGGATCCTCCATCGATGACTGTACATAAGAGTCCGTGGAGCCTTGCTTGTGCGGTGCTCGGCGGTTCTCGTCCAAACGGTTTCGGCTCATGGACCGCCGGTTGCCGCTGAAGCTCCTGCGAGGAGAGGAATCCCGAATGATGGTCGACAAGTCCAAGCTCCTGCGCCGGAAGCCCCTGAATGCGTCGAAGCTGGTCCGCGAAGCATCCATACTGGCCCGCGGGCTGAGAGCAGAAGGGCTGTGAGTCGACAAGGGCGAGAGAGTTGCCCTGACAGCTTCGGGGAGCTTGGTCGTCTTGAGCTTGGGCGGGGCAATGGCTCTTCTGCTACCACTCATAGAGCTGCGGGCAGATGGCGCCGGCAATTGCCTTTCCTCCTCCTGCTGAGCCTTGAGTCGCGCCGCATCCTTTGCGTTGGAGGACGCGTCTTCGATGAGGATCTTGAGAACGCTGATAGCGTCCTTGCCGAAGCTGAAGAAGGAGAAGAAGTACTCGTCGATGGCGTACGTCTCGTCGTTGTCAATGACGCGGATCTTGCACGTATCGGCGAACTCGAGCATCTGTGTATCTTCAATATCAATGACATTCTCGATGGGCAGCGAGATCTTGACGCTGTCGCCCTCGTTGTGCGAACGGAAGATGACCCTCTGGAGACTCTTGACCCATTCCTTTGCGCTCGGCGCGCTGTCGGCTCTGAAGTAGTAGGTCCGGTGGTGGGTAACCACAGTGAAGTTCAGGCCGTCCTTCTTGTCCGTCACGCTAGCGGAAATACCGTACCGAAGATCGATCTGGCCATGGGGGAAGTAGAGGTTGGAAGGATCCTTGTAGTATGCGAGCACGTCGCCCTTGAGACGGAACCAGTAGCGGTTGTACTTGGGGTTGCGCTTGCCGCTCTTGGATAAATAGCCCGATTTCACGACCTCATGCTGGTCGCATCGTTAGTCTTAACCGCTAAAAGCAGGGGATTCAGGGTCAACAAACCGCTTTCTTGGGCAAATAGGCGTAGAAACAAATATGCTTCGCCGTGATGTACATGTAGCCCTGGAGCAGTACACTCTGGAGCAACCAGCAAGGATACTCTGCCAAGAATCAGCAAGGCGCGCAACCCGCAAGACGACACGGTAAACCCACCTTCAATAACAGCCTCGGGATGGTCAAACTCGAAAATGTCCTGGAGGCGACGGGCCAAAGCGGTGCCGCTGCTATCGGCAGAATCGCTGTATGTCAGTTGGTCGCTGGAGCGGCGCTCTACATCGAAGCTGGGTCTCATGGACATCTCGGCCTTGGCCTCAAGCATGCGGCTCATGACTGGGGCAAGTCGCGGACCATCCTCGTCGTCTCTTGTGTCGTCGGCCTGCTCCTGGGATGGAGAGGCTTCGGAAGCGTCGCTGGCTTCTTCGGAAGGTGGCTCCAGCTTGGGCGACTCCTTCTTGGACTTGTGTCGCGGCAACCGGGGAAGCGCCGGCAAGGATCGGAGCAGCTTGTGGCCGGAGATCTTGCGCTTGTGTTTCTCGCTCTTGCTGGAAGAGTCCTTTCTCAAGACGGTCGTCTTTGCGACGTCGGGCTCGTCGTTGCGCCGGCGCTGTTTGCGGTGGAGGAAGAGGCCGTGGTGAGGTCGGTCGTCGTTACCGCCGTCTTGTGTGTGATGGCGGTCGTCGTCGTCGCCACTCTCTTCGTCGCTGGACTCGAAGCGGTCGTGGAAATCGACGCGGGAGCCGGCGGCGGCAATGAGGCCAAAGATGGACTGGTTCATGTTCATGAACATGGGCGGGCCTTGGGCAGGAATCAGGTCCTCCTCGGCAGCATCGTCGCCCTCCTTCAACCTTTCTGGCAGCTCCATGGTGGGTGTTTGCGGCTCGTGGCGCTTCTTCTGGAGCTTCTTGACGACCCGTTTCTTGACGTCCTCTTCGCCGAAGCTGATGCTCTGGGCACCAGCTGGAACGGGCGGCGGCATGGCGACGGCTGAGTTTGCGCTTGGCTGAGGGAAAGGGCGCGTCGGTAGCACAAGGTAGGCCAGAAGATCGTTCGACGCCTCCTCCGGGTTGTCGATGGCGGAGGGCGGGAAGGACGGTCGGTCGGCGTCAACGGCTAAGAGGTATCGCTGCGAAGGCGTCGCACAGCGGGGGGAGAGGGGAGATTGTTGGTTACAGCGGGGACATTCGGGCGGCGACGATAAGGTTCGAGCTCGGGGAAGGTTGCAGATGAGACGGCGAGGCTAAGCAGTCGGGACAAGCAGCCTCGGGTGGGAGGCGGCTGGGTACGGTGACGATAGGGCGAGGTAAGGTAGGCAAGGTTTGGTTGACAATCAAGGTCTCGGTATGGATGGATAGAAGCGGAGCAGAGCAGAAGAGATATTGATACAAACAAACGAACAAGTTGAAAGGGTTAGGTAGCAGAGAGGCAAAAGGATAATTCAATTAAGATGGAGTTAAAGGCAGGGTAGGTTGAGTTGGCAGGTAAGGTAGGTAGGTAGTAAAGTGGTAAGAGGTAGAAAGAAAGGTGTGTGAGTGAGGGAGGTACTGTGGTAGATGGTAGATGGCTGATGACGGATGGGATCCGTGTCTGCCGGACTCTGGAACTATGGACTTTTGGGGTTGTAACTTGTCGTCTAGGCTACCAGCAGCAAGTAGCGAGGATCATGGATGCTGGGCTGGGGATGTGGATATGGATGCAAATGTGAATCAGAGTGGATGAGGACTTGTAGCTGTGAAGGCAGACGAGTCCAAATACCCCAGGACTGAACAAGAACAAGAACACCTCAGCATGCAATGCAACCAGACAAGCTGGAGATGAGGCGAATGGGAATGGCAGGAACTGGTGAGCACAGCACCTGAGGTAAGGTATCCGTAGTGTAAGGTAGGTGGGAAGAGGACAGGCCCAGAGAACAGTGGAAGGGGCGGCGCGTCAGACCCGTCTGTTCACCTGCATCTGTTGCTGTTGCTGTATCTGCATCTGCACCTGGCTCGTTCATTTGCAAGTGCACCAAAGGGGAGGAGGGAAAGACAAGGGAAAGGGAAAAGCAAGTGGCTAACCTCACTTGTCTGAGGTACCTTTGGCCGGGTGCAGTCTGTTTGCTGCTGGTGCAGGTGCAGGTGCAGGTGCAGATGCCTTAGTCCTGGGCTAACCACACCCGTGAACATAAGGTACCTTAGGTTGACACTGGGCCAGAAGAGTCACTGTCACTGACTGCCTACTGCCTGCCAAAAGCACCACGGGCAGGCCCCCAAAAGGTGGATGGATGGAAGGAACAAATCCAATGGAAGAAACAGATAAAGAGGCCCCTGTCAGGGGTCCAGTCATTTTTTCCCTTTAGGTGGATTCATCTTCATCTTTCTCAGCTCTGATTGCATGAAGCTTGTGATGCTGCTACCCCCCTGCTTACCTGAGGTCGCGTATGATTGGGTGTTGGGGATCCACTTGATCTGGAAGTGGTGGTCGCGTTCGGATTCCTCCTTCTGGATGGCGACTGCGAGGCAGCAACAGGCAGGCAGGCAGGCAGGCAGTCCTGTCCTCTGGCAACCTGGAAGGTACTTCCTGCCTGCCTGCTTATTTTCTCTCTGTCTCATCTCTCAGGAAGGAAGGCAAGAATGGACCGGTGGCACTGGGCGGCAGGTGGCAGGCGCATGCTGCTTGCTGTGGGGGTTCATGGTCCCTGCACATGCCCACTCTCCGAGTTTCCTTGGCTTCCCATTGGCCCGATAACAGAGCTCTTATCGATAAGCCACACTCATGACGCCAAATGCGCCATCCGGGTCCCATCACAAGATGTCGCCCAGAAACACTTAGACATGCATGTGCCATGTGAGTGACCTGACGCCTTGCCGTTGCGTCCCGAGGTGCTTCACCAGGTATGGTAGAAGGCATGCCATGTTTTACTTGATGGCCTGCTCTTCTCGATATCTCACCAGGCATCGTCTGTGGCCAACAAACACTTCCAAGTCCAACCAAACAACTCAACAGCACCCACGGACATCGGCCACGGACGTCCATCTTGGCGGGAGGGGACCACAAACCCAGAAAAAAACATGACATCAGCCCAGCGTCGCCGCAAGCAACCACTGTGCTGAACCAACTGTGCTTCGCCTGGGCCTCCTCCCAGATGCATATCGCGGAATCCCAGATCCGCACCCGTCCCCCGTCCCCTCTTTTGTTGGGCTGCCGCCAAACCTCCAGGGAAAAAAACAAAGTGATGGAGAGGAAAAAAACAAATCCAACTGCTCGGGGTAACGAAATGTTCTCCCGTCGAACATGAGGGGAGACCCTGTGACACGCATCGCAACATCTCACTTACATGATGCCACTTGCTGCACTGAGCTGATTGGACGACTCGCGCGACGGATAAGCCTTCGATTACATGTGACATGGTCGCACTCGCCATCAGATGAGCCTCTGGCCAGAAGGTGACCTTTTTTCAAGGGTCAATGAGCACGACACTTAAGTACTGCAGTCGTCGTGCTAGAGTAACCAACGCGACTCGAATTGCGGACTCGAAATGTAGCGAGCACTTGCGAGCGCGCTGCCGTCTCTTGGGGCAAGGAGCAGCGACAGCATCACCTGTCAGCCACGAGGAGATGTTGATGTGCACTCTCAACGCGCAAGCCGGTTGAAAGAGACCTAGCATCCGCCGAATCTCATCAGACCCCCTCCCCGAGATCCGGACCCGAACTGCCGGCGTCTTCGCCGATTTCAACTGCGGGGGCGGGGCTAATAAAACCGCACCCTCAAGAGGGGAATTATTCATGGATCCCCAAGCTTCAACTTCACGACTCCAGTGACGATATCTCGCAAACTCAATGTCTCTGAAAGCGCTTCTGTTTCTTTCCTTCACATTGGCTCTGCTTCTCCTATCCAAGTCCCAAAGGCTAGCCCCCATCCCCAAGGTTCGGCGCCCGAACCCGCCTTCAATGCTTGTTGTTTCTCCACTAAACTCACACCATTCAAGGATCTTCCTCACAGTCTTCCCGCGCAGACATATCAACATCGCACTGCGAGATCTGATCTCACAATGAGGTATCTCAGATATCCTCACCACCCACGTGGCTTAGACACACACGCAACACAGCTGACCCGAAGCATCTCAGCAAGGACCTTCCGTTCCGCGAGGACAACCTCCCCGCCAACCTGACCAGCGCAGCCTTCCCCCTGCCCGTGCCCAAGCTGGACCTCGACTTCCGCATCGTCGTCGACCTGAATCCGCTCATCGCCGTGGGCGTCGGCCCGTTCGGCAAGCGCAACTGGATCTCCTTCTCCGGCGGCGTCTTCACGGCCAAGTGGGGCACCGGCACCGTCGTCCCCGGCGGCCAGGACAGCCAGATCGTCGTGGCCGAGGACCTGAGCACTGCCGTCGAGACGTCGTACCTGCTGAAGACGGACGACGTAGAGCCTGCGTACATCACCGTCAAGACGACGGGCTGGCGCTACGGGCCGAGGGACGTCATGGAGAGGCTGTTCGACCCGGCCCGCGCCAACGACGTCAAGCCTGATGAGTACAGCTTCCGGCTGAATGTGAAGATGGAGACGGGTGATGAGAGGTACAAGAGTGTTGTGAATACGGCCATGTGGGTTGGCAGCGGTGCTAGGCTGGGAGCCACTGTCATTTATGATGCCTACAGGGTTGCGTGAGCCTGGGTGACACGCTGGACTTTGCACATAAGCCATAACTTCTCGTCCATATGATTGAAAACACCGCAAATAAGGACGAGAGGTAGAGGAAAAGCACATGAGAAGGAATCGAGGTTGTTGGGCCAAAGTTGCTGGTGCAGTGATTTTGAGCTGCCAATATCACTGTGTCAAATTGCCAAACTACCTGACTTATGGAAACCAACCAAATCTTTGACGGCTGAACATCTAAACCAGAGGACATGTCTGCGATCTCCGTTTCGCTAGTTTAGCCCATTATGATGAAATTTAGTTCCTTCGATTTAATGCACACCTCATCACCTCTCTACGCATGCACAGACATAGGCTGAGGCCGGCTAAAGCACATGTACCGGCGCCGGGTGTGACTACAAGAATACTCGGCGTAGGGCAACCCAGCTCATGAACCATTTAACTTGATCTCGTTTGCTCACAAAGTGAATGGTTGATGGTGCGTTGTCTCCTCAAAATCTCAGCACGTTGAAGCACACTTCTGCAATGTGTCAGGGGCGATAGAATGATGACATGAAAAGCTGACGACAACGCAATGAAAGCCAATTTGAGATAGCATAATCGTCACAAGGATCACCGGGGTTGGTCATGCAGGTACTGAAAACAATGTTCCGTTCTACCGTAGACTCGATGCTACACATGGATAAGGTCAAAACATCCGACAGCTGGTCAACCATCTCAGTTTCTTCAAATCTCGAGTCTGACGTAGCAACCACACAAATGTAGGGCTGGTTTTCCCTTTATATACCACTCGGATTCCATCATCCGCAGTCCAACAAGCAAATGTAATGGGATATTCCCCGTCAAGCCAATACCGTCAGTCTTTTCTGACCGCTTCCTGCAAACCAAAATGTCGGAATGCCTCCGTCACTCCAACGCCGTGCCAACAGCCAATTCCCCTCCCAAATGAATATCAAACCTTCGAGCTTCCTTTAGCGATCAAACCGAGACCTGACCACACAGATGAACAAGCCGACCTCATCGTCCCAACTACTGCACGCATTGTGCCTACAGAAAGGGTCCTAGCTCGAGACGTGAAGCACCTGAGTTCCAGTGACATCTCACATCCAGAGGCAGAGCTTGCCACTGGCCGTACCGCCAGCGACCCAATCCATCGTCGGGTGGAACTGCGCAACGGCGGGAACGGCAGAAATGCCATCGCCTCCGAGCTGGGCCAGCTGCTCCCCGTTCGCGGCATAGACATCCACGAATCGGTTCATGTTACCGATGGTGAACTTCTGAATGCCATCCTTGGGCCGCTTTTGCCACTGAGGCTTCAGGATAGTGACCCATCGGCCGGTTTGGTTGTTATGCCGAACTTGGTGTGTAGGCTCCATTCCCTTCTTGTCCCACTTCTGCTTGTCCGCAAAGTCGTAAATCTTAATTGTGTCGTCGTAGGAGGACGTCGCGATGTGGCCGCCGGAGCTCCAGGCTGCATGCGAGACCGATAACCTACTGTCGTGCTCGTAAAGCATTTGAGGATACCTCATGTCGCCTTTGCCCTTAATCTTGCGCATGTCCCAAATTTTCATCGTGCGGTCGAGTGAGGCTGTAGCCAGCAGGTGTGGCTCACGCGGGTTTAGAGAGAAACCGCCGATCTTGTTGTCTGAGAGGGAGAATATCTCCGCGTCCTTGGGCGTGCGGGTGTCAACTCTTCCAACGGCGCCTTGAAGCGTTGAGAAGTAGATGATATTCTCTTCCGTCAGGGGCACATCAATCCCCGAAAGGGGAACATCGTCGTCTTTGCCACTAGGCTCCCAGACAGGCACACACATGTCCTTTTCCAGATCGAGAACACGAATAGTTGAATCGTAGGACGAGGTATAGACCTTTTGCTGGTTGAATGGCGAAACGATAATCGATGTGATAGTTCTGGTATGAAGCTTGAAAGCCCCAATGACGGGTTCAAACCAGCTGTCATCGTCTTCGTCGTCGTCGTTGGTCTCGGGACCTGCCTGTGAGGCGTCGAAAACCCCCAGTGCTCCTTCCTTATCGCCAGCAAATATGAGGGGTTTGTCCTCGGTCGGGTGAAATGTCGAACTGTAGATTCTTAGAGGGCAGATTTTGATGTCTACAATCCGATTAGCTCAACAACCTGTACTTGTGGAGGTGGTGACATACCGTTGGGAGCCCAGTTCTGGTAGAGTTCGAGACCGTTCATCTTTTCCCGCAACTCCTTCAAGTCCTTATCAGAAGTGTTTTTGACATCCTCGTCTGTAAAGGTAGGAACGCCAGGCTGTGCGCCGCGAGGAAGCAGGGCGCCCAACCCATCGAAGCCGTTGTTAAACTTCTTCCCCTCGACCGCGACGTCGCCCAGCTTAAGGTCTCCACTGACGCGGGTTCTCTTGGCCTTCTCCTTGGCTGCCTGGTCCTCTAGTTCAACCTCGTACTTGCGCTTAAGAGTCTCATTGTCTGCGTCAAGACCGGCGACTCGGGCGCTCCGTCGTACGGGGCCAGCTGGTGCTACGGGAGCAGCTTCTCTCTTGACGGCGGGTCTCGGCTTCGGCGCTGCCTTTGGCTTCTCGGGCATCAACTTGCTCGAGGTTTTCGCAAGATCCTTCAAAATAGTCTGGTTATTGGCAATATTCTCCAACCTCTTGCGCTCGAAGGCGCTCATGGGCTTCTCCTCTGGCTCTTGCTTGAGCTTCTTGATCGGCATCGTGGCGGTTGTGGGTAGTAATGCTTCGGGACGATGGTATTATGCGCAATAGTAACCGTAGCTGACTTTGCGGCAGGGGTGATAAAGGAGCGAGAAATCGTGAGTTCGAATTGGACGATGAAGGCCAAGGGCATGTAAGAAAGTGAGTTATTGCAGAAAGCGGAGGTGCTGAAGATTGCCAGTGGAAAGAGTGAACTTCAGGAATTTGAAAGAAGGAAATGGCAGTATGCAAATACGATTGAGATGTTTCTGAAGACTTAATTCCCAATTGAGTGCGACTTGGTGAGAAGAAAAAGATGGTTGCCACTGGCGCTTCCAAAGACGAGGGGATTCACGCCGGAAAGAGTGGCGCGTCGGGGCACTTTCTTTAATTGATTCGAACCGCGTCGCAGCGCGTCTGCTGCTGCAGGGACTTTAAGTCTATTACGTCAGCCATCCAGACTGCTGCAGGGGCCCCGGGGATGGTTGGATGGTCCCTGGCATGGCCCGAGCTCCCGTCCCGCGCCAGTGCCAGTGGATTGGATGGTGGGCTCGACATGGAAAATTTCCAGAGGCCGTAGCAAAAAGCTCAATGCTCCATTCAGTTTGGATGCAACAACATCACCGACATTGCGCCCGCCAGCAAAATACCCAAGATGGCTACGACATTGACGCCGTTTCTCTATCAAACGAGGACAATTCTTCGGGCTTCCGTTGCTCTTCGGCCCTTCTCAACCACCGCCAGCCGTCTGAGCAGACCGCCCCGCGAGCAGCCCATCCCGTTCGAGTGGGAGGGCTCAATTCAAGAAGAACGCCCCGACATCCCCAGCGGCCGCGATGGCGAGATCAGATCTACAATCACTCCGAGCGAAAGACATGTCTTCCGAAAGATCTTCGACGACATGGCGAAGCGCGGCGCAACCTCCGGCGGTCCCTCGAGAAAACTTGGTGCTGATGCTGACTCCGACGCTACATCCCGCGACGATGTCCTGAGCAAATACCCTGCGTCCCTGCGTCGAGCTGCCGAAGCTGCCCTCGGAATGCGCGAGATGTCTGGCGACTATTTCGAAGAAGACCGCCCGAAGAGAGTGTCTCGCATCGCCATGAAGAGTGAGGAGGACGAAGCCAATGTTCCCACCAAAGTGCGAGACGCACGAGACGACCTGCACATGATGGAGGGCGCCAGGTTGCAACAGATTCTGGACACCTGCAACACGGACGTTGAAGTTTGGAATGTGCTGGAAGAGGAGGTCTTCTCCATGATTGAGAAGCTTGGGATTGCCGAGAATAGGCCGCAGGAGGAACAGCCGGGGACTGAGACACGAAAGCAGAAGCCTGTCCTAGACATGGACACCCACGGCCCCATCTACTCAATGCATCTCCTCAAAGGCCTCAAAACCCTCGATCAGGTCTTCGCCAGGCCTTCACCAATGGCCTTGAACATTCTCCCCCGCGTCAAGGCCCTTGGAATCGCCTCCTACGTCCTGGGCGTCTCGACGCCATTCTACAACGAGCTGGCCTCCATCCTATGGTTTCGCCATGGCGATACCCAAACTGTGCTCGCCCTTCTCGATGAGATGCAGGATGCTGGCCTGTTCTACGACAAGGACACACTGCGTTTGGTCGACAGCATCGAGTTGGCCCTAGACTCTTTCCGGAACCGCGGGCTGGGTGTCTTCTCCAAAATAGTTGGCACCATTCCAGGCTACAACCTGGACGATAAGGCCATGGTAGCACGCGCCGCACGTCGTGTTCGCCATGCCGTGAAGAATCAGCGAATGGCACTGGGTAACTAGAATGGCGAACGAACGCTGTCTTCAAATCACGTGTATATCGTCTTGTAACATACATGTAATACCAACACTGCTCATATAGAGGGTCCTTTTGCCGAGGACTCAGAGGAACATCTATCCGGGCATCGTCAGCTCAGCGCTGCCAGGCTGATTCCAAACAACCATATAATAAATCTGTCTGTGGATCTCGATGTCCCTCCGATAGAGTGTACGTGGCTATGCCCACGCGGCACATTGTAAACTCAATAGTCCGTCCCTTCCCGAGTCTGCGTAGCCGGACTTGGCCGTGAAAGCAGCGACAAGAAGCAAGCAAGTTGCGGCTGCGGGAGCTAGGTTAGGCGCCTGAATATGGGGGGCCCAGAACCGCCCTCGCGCCATCACAACATCCGCCCTTTGTTCCCAGTCATGACTACTCTCCAACAACCTTATTCGCGATTAAGGAGAAAAATTAACGGAGATATCGGCTGGAGGCTTTTCAGCTTGAAATGGTGCCCCTGTCGATCTTTCGATTCCCCATAGCCACATTCCACACCCGCGGGAAAGGCGTCTCGCAGCCTCACAGACTGGAGCCACGGCGCGCTTCGCGGCGGCCGACGACAGCGCCTGATGGCGGCCGCCAGGCCCATGGTTATTGAAGGTGTGTTGTTAACATGGTGCGCGCCAGTATCGTGGCTCTGCGCCTGGGTAGAGCTTTTGAAGCCCCGAGCTTAATCTGAAGTTGCTAGGGAGGCTGTAATAGCACGCCACGCCATCTCGCACTCTTGGTCCTGCTTCAAAGTCTTCAAATCACAGCCCATAATGTAGGTTTGGCACCCAAAAAAGAGCTGAGCACACGGCACAGCCTTTAATATGACGGAAAAAAAAGAGCAAATCTGAAGTTCCTGGTACTGAAAAGCAGCATGAAGGATGACGATGGAGGAAGGAAAGAAGTTGGACGGGGGCTGATTTCAATCAGTTTACTAATGTTCACACCAACCAGCTCTATTAGGTTCCTGTTCTGCCTGCCAGAGTGGCTGAAACTTGAAGTCCAGTTTTGCCTCGTATTACCAACCGCCAGTTGCACATGGGATGGCAGTTACGAAGTCTCTTTCACTAATCAACCCACAGGCGCAGCCAGTTCACATGCATTAGGATAGTTGTCAGTGATTTGTTATAACCGAATGAGATACATTTGCCTCAATTGCGATTGTGAAAGCAGAACAACCTGGTTTTAATCTATCATTGACTCGACAACGTCTTTCAATTCTGCGCAGCTACTTACTTACTAACAAGCTGAAAAACAGTCTCTGTATCCAGTTGAAAGATGAATAATCATCTCAGGGAACACATGTGAAGGTAAAAGAGACTATGTTTATCCAGCACCCCTGAGTAGATATTTTGACACAATCTGGTTGGTCATTGATGATCTTGAGCAGTTTTTCAGCAATTAATAACAAATGAATATCCATAGTATGTATGACCTGGGCGTTTTGTCCTATTGACCAGCTTGGGTGAATCCTTTGGGGCTGGGGTAGAACAAATACAGGTCAGAAAATATGATTGATAGAAATTGTTGGCGAGATTCAAAGTGCGCGAGTGACCACCAGGATTGCACAACTGCTGCTTCATCACAGTCACTTACTTAATGAGTGAGTAAATGACGGAAGACATCTCGCCACTTACTTAGTGTATATAGTCAGTGACGACTTACACATAATACAAGCAAGCAATCATAGCTGCAAATATCAAGCTTTTTACTTTACTGAGTGAACTGACTGAGTCGTTAGCTCTGAATCTATTCGGGTTAAAAGTCAACTAAAGGCAAAAGACAAGCCGTTAACAACAACCAGTGCTTGCGTGTGATGCTTGTTGATTGGCAAAAGGTGAAGTTGCGGCCAGTGTGGATTGAACACACGACCTTCAGATTGATTGAATGAAGTTTCCAGGGTTCAGAACCCACTTCAGTCTGACGCTCTCCCAACTGAGCTATGTCCGCCGCCATCTTCGAGGTCCACTGTCAAGGTGGTCCCGCTATCAACCACCTGCGGGTGAGAGCTGAGCGAAAGCGAGCTGCTAGCGCCATGTCAAAATCATTCCGTTCAGCTGAAAAAGACACGCCGATGCGAAGAGCTGAACAACTCAGCTGTATGTAAAGGTTGCAAAGAGTCATGAGAAACGTGTTGGCGGGCGTCACACGCAATGGTTCGTGCTCTTATTCTTCAACATGGATGTGAAGTTCGGCCGAGAGCGAAGCCATACTCCCCGCGAGTCACTTCTGAGACATCGCTGCGCACATCATCAGATCAGACTGAGTGAGGTCAAGTGAATTTTATTATGCCAATTTTCCCAATGCTCCGTTGAAGATGGCTACCCCTCGGCTTCGCTAGCTGTAAAGCGGCCACAATGCCCATGTTGAACACTCCAAAAAAGAAATTCTGCATTTCATGTCGCAGAGTCATGACCCATGTGAACACCAAATCACTACTACACGCTACCCTGCACTCAGTCCGAGCTCTACAACCTCACACCCTCTTTCTTTCCTTACCATCCACGGCCGGCCATCTTCTCCTCGGGCTTCATGCTGTCGCAGTTGATGCCGACCATGGCCTCGCCCAGACCCTCGCTGCACTCGGCGAGAACCTTGGGGTCCTTGTAGTGCGTCGTCGCCCTGACGATGGCCTTTGCGCGCTTGACCGGGTCGCCGGACTTGAAGATGCCGCTGCCGACAAAGACACCGTCGCAGCCGAGCTGCATCATGAGCGCAGCATCAGCAGGGGTGGCGACACCGCCGGCGGCGAAGTTGACAACGGGCAGACGGCCCAGCTCGGCGGTCTGCTGGAGGAGCGCGGGGTCGACCTCGAGCTTCCTCGCGAAGGCGCGGAGACCAAGAACGCCCTCGGTCTGGAGAATGGCCTTGGCCTGGGCGATATCCTTGGTGACCTGCTTGACGTGGGTGACGGCCTCGACGACATCACCGGTGCCGGCCTCGCCCTTGGTGCGGATCATGGCGGCACCCTCAGCAATACGGCGGAGGGCCTCGCCAAGGTTGCGGCAGCCGCAGACAAAGGGGGCCTTGAAGTCGTGCTTCTCGACGTGGTACTCCTTGTCGGCGGGAGTGAGAACCTCGCTCTCATCGATGTAATCGATGCCGAGGGCCTCGAGGATCTGGCACTCGACAAAGTGGCCGATACGAGCCTTGGCCATGACGGGGATGGTGACGGCGTTCTGAATCTCCCTGATCATGGCCGGGTCCGACATGCGGGCGACACCGCCGTCCTTACGGATGTCTGCGGGGACACGTTCCAGGGCCATGACGGCGCAGGCGCCGGCCTCCTCGGCGATGCGGGCCTGCTCCGCGTTCACAACGTCCATGATGACACCGCCCTTCAGCATCTGGGCGAGACCGGCCTTGACGGCAAAGGAGCTCTTGGCATCGCCATTGGTCTTGGTAGCGTCGTTGTTGGTCATTTTGACTGAGTTTTGACTGATGAACCGTAGTGACTATGGTATGGTGAGAGAGAGAGGCAAAATAGTGATCGTGTTCCAGAAGGTCTAGGACAAGGTCCGGGAATAATGCGGCTCAGGGTGTGAGGGGTATGTTTTTTTCAGGCAAATCAGAAGGAAAAGAAGGATTCCTCAGCAAGCAAGTCAGAAGAAAATGCTCCGCTCCGCAATGGATCTTTGGTACGTTCGGTGATCGGTAACGGAATCCGGGGAAAGGGGTCCTTCGAGAAGAACGGGGGAACGAATAATTAAGTATATGGTGGCGGCGACAACTGGTGATGCACGGGATGCCCAGCAACGACGAGTCACCATTGGACGAGAAAATTTTTCTAACTGTACCGAGTCATCCCGTGTTTTCCGCGGTATCCTCGCGAGCGGCAGATGGACGTGTGTACTGTATGTACACTCAAACCTTTGCCTAGGCGAGCCGAGCAACGACTGAGTCGGCGGTCATTTGGCTGTAGGGAACCCCAGAGCCCGCCGAGGAATCACAGAAGGGCGTGTTGGGCGCCTTCGTCCCCGATCTCGGAAAGGCAACATGCGGTTACTCCGGGGTCCTGGTGCAGGGGAAACCTTCTCATGAGAATCGCAGTGTCATAGAAAGCTGCTCATAGCGGGCGGTGGGCGGCGCCGGTGTTTGAACGGGTGGCGGAGTCTGTGAGCACTGAGGAAAACTGAGGAGTAAGAAAGGGTCCTTGCTGTGGACATGTATGGATGGTCCGCAGTGACTCTCAATGCTGTTCGTCTCTCGGAGCTCTATCCGAAGGTACCTTTCCTCAATGGAATTACGATAGAGTAACAACCACCGCGGCCGTCGACTCTGAGGCCAGCAAGTGCTCCGACCGGCGGCGAATAATTCTGGGGGGGCCAAGGGCGGAGAGCGGCTGCCGTCGGATGTGCAGCTGCAAGGCGGCAACGCATCCGCCTCCGCCTTACCAGCTCCCGTGCGGAATCTCTGCATCTTTCAGCTCCTATCTGATAAGTTGACGTCGTTCACGGCATGATGGAGTAACATGGGAACAATCCCTGAGTTGCGCAGGCTCGATATGCGTGCACTACTTTCTTGCGTCGCCGCCTCTCCATGCCTTTCCATGTCTCCTCCATCCACAGCGGCCCCCACGGATCCTGCTACTCCGCCGTTTGACTCTGTCAATTACTTGCATTGCACTAGCAAATGACTGTGTCATTACGCCCTTTGCGCCGTTAGTGACCTTCCATATCGATACAGCGGTGCCCAAATTAACACCGCGGCGCCGCCATCGCCCGTGTCCAACGGACCCGATCGCCGCCGACAACGACCCCAGAACCTCACTAAACCGCTCATCTGGCTAGCAACGGGCTGCGAGGGTGCAGTGGCACGACCGTTATCGCCAAGGCTGCTTCAATCCACGCACATCCCATCCTCTTAGTGTTGTGTTATCGTCGTTCGGTCCATAACCTGGTCTGGGTGTGTTGCGTGAATGACTCAATCACCAACACGGCAATTCTCAACCACTTTACCCTTCATTTTCAAGGACAGCACTCTTCTTCACCACCAACTCATACACCATCACGACTTGACGATGCCTGCTGTTACTATCGGCGTATTGGCCCTGCAGGGCGGCTTCCACGAGCACCTTGAGCTTGTCCGGAAGGCTGCCGCATCACTCGCATCGGCCCCGGCGCCAAGCCCGATTCCCGAGATCGAGACCACGGAAGTTCGCACCGAGGAGCAGCTCCGCCGCTGTGATGCCCTCATCATTCCCGGCGGCGAAAGCACGACAATCTCTCTGGTCGCCACGCAGTCCGGCCTGATGGAACCTTTGAGAGAGTTCGTAAAGTGAGTCCACAGTCGCAGCAACGTGATGTCATTGGTGAATTCCTGGCAAAGTTTTCTCATCTCACCCCTTGCTATGTCCCATCCATGAGACAGCGGCTGATATTCATTCTTCATCAGAATTAACCGCAAGCCGGTCTGGGGCACCTGCGCCGGCGCCATCCTGCTTGCCGATGAGGCAAACTCCACCAAGAAGGGTGGCCAGGAGCTCATCGGTGGCCTCGCTGTGCGTGTCCACCGTAATCACTTTGGCCGTCAGATTGAGAGCTTCGTTGCGGACCTCAACCTGCCCTTCCTCTCGAGGGGCGACGGTGGTTCGAAAACGGCGTCGGCACCTTTCCCGGGCGTCTTCATTCGCGCGCCAATTGTGGAGGAGATCCTTTCCAAAGATGCCGAGCCGAAGTCGTCAGTCGAAGTCCTAGCAGTACTGCCCGGGCGTAAGACGAAGGTTGAGGGCGTCAGCCAGAGCACGGCAGATGACTCTGTAGGTGACATCGTCGCCGTTCAGCAGAGGAACATTTTTGCCACGAGTTTCCACCCTGAGCTGACTGACGACATTCGCATTCACGTCTGGTGGCTGGAGCAAGTCCTCCAGAACCTGCCTCCCACATCATCTGCGTGAATGTCAGCCCACGAAAGCGAGGGGTATCATGTGATGTCATGGTTGGCGGACGGATAGAACTGGTGGCATCTGGCGAGCACATATCACACATACTACGCCATCTACGAAAACGCAAAATCTCACCCCAGGGATCGACGTTGGGGGTGGACGTTTAGCAGCACCGGTGGGATGCCTGCCACAAGAGAGGGGTCCTGGCTTGCATCAGAGGCATAGACGCAACGGGTGAGAAACAACGTAGATCTTAGTGCAGCGGTTGCTCGGGTGCGCAGAGTTGCGTAGCCGGCTTTGTCGCTGGAATGGGGAGAGATGGGCTAGTGACATCCGTGGCTTGCGAAGCGAACTTCAGTCACGGAATCACACCCCATGAACCGAACTTTTGGCACCCGACCGGCCCGGCAAATGATGCACTCGTCGAGTTCGGAAATTATTGCGGGAATTCGGGATATTATTACGCATGAGAAATGTTGGTGGAGTTTCATAGAATAGACACGGAAACACGGCATTTAGATAGGCACGCAGGATAGACACACGCACGAACCACGGTGAGGTGAGCTTGGCAACGCATATCTGACACATCTGCGTCGGGATGATCTCAACCTCAGCATTTGCCCCTCACACTGGTGGGATCCCATTGGGATCTATGATGCAAAACTTGCAGATCTTCAGGAACATGATGCAGGTTCCTACCGACCCTGCGGATAGGTCCCAAGACCGCGGTCTCAGTGAAGATCACGCACAAGGGGTCCTCAATGAACACCCCTCGTTTTGGGGTTACATTGAATGTGAGTAGTGTGTGATGCCTATTCTTAGACGGCCAATTTGAACCAAAGTCCACGATGCCGCCTTCTCGAAGATGCAATTACGTCTAGCAGCTGCGTGAATAACACGCGAATATCCATGGATTTCCGAGGATGAGATAGATGTCGCAGGTGAGATGTAGTCTAGAATAGCCCAGGACTACTAGGTCCATTCTTCCAAATTGGCACGCATTCAACTTCACGAGGGGAATTTGAAAAGAATAGTGGATGTGATGAGTAGTAAATTTGAGCCAAAGACCGTCAAGCGTCTCAAACAGTTCTATGATACTGGTTGAAGTGATGGCTAAGGTAAATTACGTTGGAAGAGAAACAAGAATATACAGGAATTCGTAGAAATAACCTGAGAAGGTTTATACTAGGTATTAAAACAGAATGGTATCAAATATTCTTCGTGAATAGGCTCATAATCCCTTGGTCGCTTTTGCAAACCTCATCAATCAGACGCTATGACATGATGCCCTCCCTCCCAACTGCCTCCGCTAATTATGCTGACAAAAGAAACAAGAGAGCGAATGCACTCATGGCAAAGACCATGGACTTATTAGAGGGGATCATGTGTCCCGCTCCGCTGTTGAAGCCGTTGGGGTTGAACTCGTTGGAGTCGCTGGTAGTGGTGACCGTGGCGGTCTCTTTCTCAGTTGCTGTCGTCTTGTCGGTCTCAGTCTTGGTGACCGTGACAGGCAGCACAATAGTGCCTCCGTTGATGGTTAACCTTTCGGCTCCAGGAACGGCGGCGGCAGTAATGTCTGGCAGACAAGGGCCGTTGGCGCAGGTCTTGGTGACCAGGCGAGTAGTAGTCAGACCGGGCTCGGTGATGACCTCCTCGACAGTGACAGTGACCACGGCATCAGTCTCCTGAGGAACGGTGAGGACCGCAGTGACTGGTGTGGGGCCGTCGGTGCAAACTGCCTGAGTGGTGGTGAAGCCTTGGGGCAGGTCGTCACCGTATCCGTGGCATTGGGTGATGGAGCCAGAGCAAGTTTGTGTGATGGTGTAAGTCTCTGCCCTCAGACCTTCAGAACATTCCGGAGCGAAGGTTGGGTAGACGGTTGTGTAGACTGCAGTGAAACCCTCATCGTCTGCTCCCGTACCTGTGGGCTGCTGTTGCTGTTGTTCAGGGAGGATATATATCGAAATGGGCTCTACTCTGGTGACGGTAAGGGCGTCTAGTGTTGTCGTCGTAGAGCAGTCCACTTGTCTGTACTGGACCCGGCCGGCAGCAGCACCGGCAGCAAGGGTAAGGAGGAATGTGAAAGTGTTTTGAGGAGACATGTTGAATATGTTGTGTCGCAGCCCAGTGTCGCAAAGTGTGAGTGAGATCGAAATCGAAGCCTCATGAAGGAATGCAGACAAACTCTATATCAGGACATCGCATATGGAGCCGGAGAGATATCGTATGCTTCTTCTAGCGTTTGGCCAAGCCTTCGTCAACTGTGACGTCCATCTCCGGACGTCATGTCACAAGGGCGTCAACTCAAAAGTCCACAAACCAACGTCGGGCAGACGCCCAAGCTACCTCCGGAGCGGAAGGGGCCATCACGACAAAGCCAAGGGGGGTTCAGTATGAGCACAATTTGGGAATACAGAGTCCGAATGCAACCCGGCCAAGACCAAGGGTCCGCGATCGTGATCCCGTATGTCTGGGGGGTGTACCATACCCGGCCTGGGCCAGCGCCTCTCTCCGGGTGCGGTCAGCTCTGTTGGTCATCGGGTAAGGTTGCCCAACTGTCCCGGGCCGTCTTGTCCTCTCGCGTTAACCGGATCCGATCAAGTCAGATCTAGCAATAGTCAAGAAGCTGTCAGTGCGCCGTGGGAACGGTGAGATTGAGTTCAAGGGTCTGGACTCGCAGGGGGGTGTCTTAGAATTTCGACCAACCACGGCGGCCTCGCCGGGCACCAGCAGCCCAACTGTCACCGAGATCTTCATTCCCGTCTTTAGTTGACGTGCTAATTGTCTAGCTCACTAGGTGTGACCCACGCCCAGGACCCCAAGCTCGCAGCCTCATTTTGAACCTCATCCTGCTGTGTTGCTTTCGGTTTGTGGCGGCGATAGCTTGGATAGGCACTGGTGCTGCGGAGGGTGCGGAGGCGGAGGAGAGGAAGAGAAGAGACGGCGGGAGAGGGCGGATGACAGGAAACGCCACATTCTCCAACCATCAACGGCCTCTTTACACGAACGCCTCCCGAGCCAAAAGCTGGACGCATTTGGAGCGATTATCTTCAGCTCCTCGAACCGACCTTTCCTGCGACTGCGTTTACGTGTCCCAAGCTCCTTGCATCAACGCTTCCGGCCGAAAGCTCAACTGTTCGTCCTAACATGAAAGAGGTGAAGGGCATCCTGATCTAAGAGCGGGAGCATAATCCGTAGCACAAGCTATCTCCGTGATTGGACATCCGTATCCACTCTCAAGGCAGCTCTTGGTGATTGGACGCTAATGTTGTCACCCCAACGGACTCAACCGTCATCCGCGGGCGCGCGATCTGGGATCGGAAATGCCAACTCAACATCACTCAGCATGCCATGGATACGAAGCGTTCGGTCTCTGGTGACGCTACAAGGAACAACAATGAGATTGTTAACTTGCAGATCGCAAATTACTCATCAATATAGTCGAAGATTCCGCACTTTGGGCACCCGATGCGGTTCTAGCCATCTCTCGGTTGACGGACTTGTCTTAGATTACAAGACCCCGCGACAAGGTCTAGCAAACAATCACGCACCTATGGCCGGAAAGAGCAGAAAATGGCCAGAACCAGTCGTAGTGGAGGCGAGATGAAGTCAGAAAGCACCCATTCAACCCGCTTTCGAGATGACCTCCTGAATCTTTCCCGTACCTTGCTCGAGGAAAATTCGGCCCGGGGGATGATTTCGCCACGGTTTACCCTTGCGTTGCTTCTCTCTCGTCGCCTTTTGCCTCCCTGGATTTCTTCTTTTACCCTTCTTCATCGTGTCCCGGGAGGTGCTCTTCTTGTAGTCCAGGGCAGAATCTTGCTGTCACTGAGAGACATTGTGACAACTTGGCACGCAACCCGGGCTGAACACAGGTCCTCCAGTTTCCGCAAAGGAGCGACATTCCTCACCCACCAAGCCCATTCCGCTCGCCAGGCACGCCGCAGTCTCACAGCAACGGACACAAGGCACCTTTTATCTTTTCGTTAAAACAATCGAAGCGTCGTCAATACCGACTGACCCTAACCTTAATACCCATTTGTTTCACGGGCGTTCAATACTCTTGTCGTTCGCCAATCCCTCCCTCTCCCCCGTTGGAACAAACGGCGCCTCCCGTCTTCTCTTCACGAGATGCCAGTGCCTGTTCAGTAACGATCAGGCCCATCATCATATGACCTGAAGTCTCAACCTCCGAATAGTATCATCGACCTAATCAATAAATACTCAAGACGCAAGTCGAAGCAAGAGAAGAAGCCTGCTCCCGCACGGCTTCCAGACCTGGTGTCTTGGACGGTCTCGAGACTCTGTCGTCGTGCTGGATATCACGCATTATTAATAGTAATCTTTCAGCATGAAGCTCTTCACAACCTTGGGCCTGTTGGCCTCCGCTGGGCAGTACTGGCTTGCGTCAGGACTGCCTCAGTTCCCCGACAACCCCATGTGCACAGCTGGCATCACATCCGTCGAAGTCCAGCCCGTACAGTTTATCGTGCGCCGCCCGATCTACATCAGCGCGTTCCTACCGGCCAACACAGTCTTGATCCTCGACGACGGACTTACACTCACAGTCACCAATGCGCCGTTGACGCTCATCACCGAAATCGACAAGCTGGGCACTCTGACCTCCGAAGTGACCAGGTAAGTTCATCTTCTTCAACCTGGACACTTACATGACACTAACTTGCTGTGCCAGAATCATCGAGGGAATCTCATCTCTCCCCAACGCATACGTCACGATCACAAGAGGTGGCCAGTCGGGAACAGAGGCAAGCACCATCACCGTGCTTCCCTCTGGTCCGGATGGCGTTGGCACTTACCTCGTCTTCACCCCCTTTGCGCTTACCGACGCGACGACCGGAGCTGGTATTCTGCCAACACCCACGGTCGGAAGCCCTGCGGCAACAATCGTCGGCTCTCCCGAGGATGCCAGTCGTCTCCTGACCGAAGCCCTGAACAGCTTGGGTAACTTTGTCCCGCCGGTAACAAACGACCCCGGCGCGACCCCGGCCAGCCCGGCTTCAGTCCCGGTGACGCTTTTGCCCACCGGAGGAGCTCTGCCTGCTGCGTTTTTCACCACCGTCAATGTTGGTGGTGCCGATGGGGTGCCTCGGAACCTGACTGTTACCTCTGGAACCGAGGGCACAGTTTTCGCGCAGACCTTTGACAGATTCTCGGTCACCGTGACTGGTCCCGACAATGTCATTACCGTTCTCGGAAACGCTGGAGTCTCGCCTTCAGCCATCACCTTGGCCGGAAACCGAGCTGCAGCGGCGGCCTCTGGAGTCAGTGGTGACGTCTTGCAGATCATCCAGACCCCTGGAGGTGAGGCAAACTTCCTGGAGCAACTTCTCACGACCACAGTAGGTGCTCAAGGGATCGAGGGAACCAACACATTCACAATTGTTCCTACTGGAACCGGAAGCGTTGGTGCTGTAGTTGTCCAGACTCCTCTGGCAGGTTCCGCAGGCATTTTTGCCGGACCGCTCAGGACCATCACGGCCGGTGGAAACACCGGTTCTGATGCAGTGACATTTACGGTTCCTCCTCAAGGAACAGACCAAACTGGCACCGTTGTCGTCCAGCCAGCGCAGATTGCTTTCACAGGCCCCTTCACGACCATCACCTCAGGAGGCGTCTCTGGCTCCGTGCCCCTTTCTCTGACCATTTTGCCTTCAACGAGCCCCTCGCTGGGTACCGTCATTGTGCAAACTCCTCTGGCTGCGAGCCCTGTCAACTTCATCACAAGAAACGCGCTCGCCATTGCCGGTCTCGGAGCCACCATCACTCTGCCATTGGGCGGTTCTTCTGCTACTGGCCCTGCAACGGTCATCATCGCAGCAGGTTTGGGAGGTGACGATCCGGCCACGACCGCGCCGGCTGCTCTGGCTGCGTCCATTGTTACGATTCGCGGTGCCTTCAACGGCACTACTCCCCAGACCTTGACCTTGGCCCCAGCTGGTGATAACTCGCTTGCGACTGTTGTTGAGCAGTTGCCTGTTGGCTTCTCTACAAACAACCAGGCGAACCCTACAGCCCCGGCTGCTCCGGCTGCAACCGGTGTCAACACCGCCGGCCAACCTAACGCCCCTGTGCCAACAGCAGGACCTTCAGTCAACCCAATTCCCAACCAAATTCTTCCTGCTGCCATCACCAGCGGATACAGCGGCTCTGTGCCTACTACAGTCACATTGCCGCCTTCCGGAGCTCAGACGGCCAGCCAAGTTGTGGTTCTCACCCCCTTTTCCAACGACTTTGTTGCCACCAACATCCTGCAGCAGCCGACGACCATCACTCAAGGAGCATCGGTCACTGTCGCGACGACCGTCACTCTCCAGCCGGGTACCATTCAGCCAGGAGCAGCAGTTCCCACTGCTCCTACTGTTCTTGTGCTGACGCCGCTACCATCTGGTGCTGCAGCAGCAACTCCTGTAGTCAACCCGGCTCAGTTGACTACGGTCTCTGGAGTCATCAATGGTAACAGCCCCCTGACTGTTACCATTCCTCCAGCAAACTCCGTTGATCCTGGCACTGTCGTTGTTCTTCAACCTGCTCAAACCGCCGGTGTCGCCCCCGGTGTTACTCCTGGTGTTGTTCCCGGCGTCACTCCCGGTGTCGTTCCTGGTGTTACACCTGGAGTCGTTCCCGGTGTGACTCCTGGTGTCGCTCCCGATGTTACTCCTGGTGGTGCTGGGACTCCCGGAGGTGGAGCAACTCCTGGAGCAGGCCAAGATACTGTTCTTGCTGAACCCTTCCTACCGGGGGCGTTCACGACCATCCAGTCCGGATTCAGCGGCGCAACTCCCACCACCTTCACTGTTCCCCCTGTTGCCCCAAACAGCATTGGTACAGTTGTCGTCTTGACCCCTACTAACGCAGCAGGTGCCGGTCCCTCACTGCCCGCCGGTGTACCTTTCGTGACGGTCACGAGCCCCTTCGCAGGAGAGACTCCTCAGACTAATGTATTGCTCCCATCTGGTACTAACCCCACAGGAACTGTTCTCGTTGAAGTCCCAGCTGCTCAGTTTACGCCACCCGCTTCAGGTATTAGCCTGCCCGCCGGTGTGCCATTCGTGACTGTGACAACTCCCTTTGCCGGAGAGACTCCCGAGACCAACATCTTGCTTCCCTCTGGCACCGGCAGCGTTGGAACCGTTCTGGTTCAGGTGCCATCTGCCCAGTTCACGCCAGCTGCGCAAGTCACAGCTCCCACCGCAGGTGTTGTCCCGACGCCGGGTGGCCCTCTGCTCCCTGGCATCACCATCGGAGGACAGACTATCGTCATCCCCGGAATCACCATTGGCGGCCCCATTGCTCTGCCTACTGGTCTTAACTTGGGATCTTTCCTCACCCTGACTCAGGCCGGGTCAGACCCAAACACCGTAGTCTTCCTTCCCACGGGCACCAACCCGGGTCTTGTTGTCATTCAGACACCGACTGTCGCGCCGACTGCTATTCCTGGCGCTGGTGTTTTCACGACCCTCTTCCAGGGGTACACCGGCTCAACGCCCACCACCACGACTCTGCCGCCGACGGGAACCAACACCCTCGGCGTTGTCTTGGTTCAGACTCCCCTGGTGAACGTCCTCGATACCACGACGGTTGGTTTCACTGGCACGGCACCCAACACGATCACCGTGCAGCCCTCTTCGGGTGGCTCTGGTATCGTGGTTGTTGAAACTCCTTTCGTCAACCCCTTGCAATCCACCCCGGCCGTCCCAGCTCAGATCTTTACGAGTATCACCCAGGGCTTTACCGGATCTGTGCCGACTACAATTACGCTCCAGCCTACTGGAACCAACACAATTGGTACCGTGGTTGTTCAGACCCCCATCTTCCCTGGAGGTGGAGTTCAGGTCACCACGCCGGCAGACCCGGCCGCATCGGACCCGGGCGATCCTCTCATTGACATCATCGCCACCTCGACTGTCGGTCTTCCAGGCTTGCTGGCCCCGACGACGACTACGATTCTGCCTAGCGGAACCAACCCCGGCTCCGTCATTGTTCAGACTCCGGTGTCACTTACCGGCTCTCCAGGACCTAACCAGCCTCAGTCCTTCGTCACCCTCGCGACGGGTTATACTGGAACTGTCCCTCTGACGACCACCATTCTTCCCGCAGGCACCAACTCGGTTGGCACTGTTCTGATCCAGACACCTACTCAAGGTGGAGGAGGCGGCGGTGGCGGCGGCGGAGGTGGTGTCCCTACTGTTGGTGTTACTCCTGATCCTGCTCTTACACAAGCTCTCACGACCATCACGGCTGGATTCTCTGGTTCCGTGCCGACCACCATCACATTCTCGGCCACTGGTGCTCAGACTGCTGGTATTGTTGTCGTCCAGACTCCAACCACTGGTCCTTTCGCATCTCCCTCCGTCCAACCGGCCGACTTCGTCACGTTCTTCACTGGATATACTGGATCCGTGACTGCCATCTCCACGATCTTGCCTACTGGCACTGCTTCTGTTGGCACCGTCTTGATCCAGACTCCTACTGCTGGTGCTGTTGCGACCTCGCCTCCGGCTGTTCCGACTGGTTTTGTTCTCACTACTGCTGGCTACACCGGCTTGGTTCCCACAACTATCACGATCCAGCCATCGGGCACCAACCCCGGCACCGTCTTGGTTCAAGCACCTACAGTCGACCCAGCGACTTTGGTCCCGACTGGATTTGTTCTCACCACTGCTGGCTACACCGGTTCAGTCCCGACTACTATCACAATCCAGCCGTCGGGCACCAACCCAGGAACTGTGTTGGTTCAGACACCTACCATCGAACCCGCAACGCTGGTTCCGACTGGATTCGTCCTTACTACTACCGGGTACACCGGCTTAGTCCCAACCACTATCACCATTCAGCCCTCTGGCACGAACCCAGGCACCGTCCTGGTCCAGACTCCAACTGTTCTGCCAGCCTCGGTCCCCTCAGGTTTCGTCCTCACAACGACTGGTTACACTGGTCTTGTGCCGACAACGGTGACTGTCGAGCCCTCAGGAACCAACCCAGGTTCTGTCATTGTCCAGACCCCGACTGTCATTGTCGACCCTGCTCAGATTCCAACCGGCTTCGTGGTATCAACGACCGGCTACACTGGATCTGTCCCAACCACCGTCACTATTCAGCCGTCGGGAACCAACCCCGGCACTGTCCTCATCCAGACACCTACAGTTGAGCCTCAGATCATCCCAAGTGGATTTGTCGTAGCCACCACTGGGTATACTGGCTCTGTGCCGACAACGGTCACCATCCTCCCGACTGGTACTCAGTCCATTGGAACTGTCCTGATCCAGACTCCAACTGCTATTGCCAGTCAGACCGGAGGCAGCGGTGCCGGTGGTGGTCCCATCGAGCCCGTCTTCTTGAGCAGCGGCTACGCTGGATCTGTCACGTCAACTCTGACCTTGACTCCTTCGAACGTCGGAGACCCGACAACCTTGGTCGTGCTCACACCCAGCGACGCTGCTGGTGTCGCGCCATCTCCCACAGTCACCGTCGAGCCAATTCTCTTCATCACTTTGACCATCGGGTACCCTGGTCCTACAATTGCCACTCTGACCTTGTTCCCCAGCAGCGGCAACCCGATCGGAACTGTTCTGATCCAGACCCCCTTACCGTCTGGACAGAGCAACACCATCACTGCCACTGGTTTCACCACGCAGACTCTGCCCTTCACGGGATCAGTGCCGACCACCATCACTATCCCCCCGGCTGCCACGGATCCCAATGGCATCGCGACGGTCATTGTGCAGGACCCGATCGCTTCGTACGTCACTGTTTCAAGCGGGTACTTCGGTTCTGGTATTGCGACGACGACTGTCGCCCCCGCAAACCCAGGAGACCCAGGCACCGTCATCATCCAGACACCTCTTCCGGCTTCATTCTTCACCACCACTGTCGGATACACTGGCCTGGTTCCTACTACGACGACACTGCTGCCGTCTGGAACCGACACCGTTGGCGCTGTCATCATTCAAGTCCCTACATCTACTCCTGCGCCGACCGCCGACCCTGCCATCTCCTACATCACGGTGTCTACCGGGTACTCGGGAGTGGGAACTCAGACCACCACAATCCTTCCCACGGGAACCGAGACTGTTGGCCTGGTTCTTATTCAGACTCCCACGGCTGACGGCGGCGATACCGCCACCGCACCTGGAGTTACTCCCACGGCCCCTGATGTCACTGCTACCCCTGGAATTAGCTTCATCACGACGACTACGCTATGGGATTCAACGGGCACATCTACGGAAACCACGTTCCCTACCGGCACGCAGGCTGTGGGCAACGTCATCGTCTTTGCTCCTCGATTTGCCAGATTCATCACAACGACTGTTGGCTGGACTGCAAGTGGCCTGTCTACGACCACCAGCCCTACGACAAGTGCAAGCGAGGTCATCGGCATGGTCATCATTTATACCCCCGAACCCACCGCCGCTCCTACGTCCGCTCCCGACCCATCCATTGGCGCATCCGTCACTCCCGCCGCGTCTCCGAGCGTGGAATTTGCTACTCTTACTAGCACCTACTCAGGATCGGTGCCCACCACATTCACGCTCGCTCCTAGCGGCACTGACACCGTGGGTACTCTTGTGGTCTTGGTGCCAAGCTCCACGGCAAGCCCTGATGCATCTGGAGGAGATCCTGTCTTTGCGACTCTTACGAGCACGTACGCAGGCTCCATTCTTTCAACTTCAACGATTGTGCCGACGGGAACCAACTCCCAGGGCACTCTTGTTGTCCTGGTTCCGAGTAGCGCTGCCTCTCCTGGTGCGACTGGCTCACCTGGAGCATTGTTCGAGACCATTACGTCTACCTATGGAGGTTCCATCACCTCCATCGAGACTCAGCTGCCTTCCGGCTCCGATCCAACCGGAACTGTCATTGTCTACGTTCCAAGCGATGTCTTAGCTTCGCCGACAATTACACCTGGCCCTGCCTTGACGACTGTCACCTCCGCTTACCCCGGATCCGTCATCTCGACTGCCATTGCTTCACCCGCCAACCCTGGCGACCCAGGCACTGTCATTGTCTACATCCCGACGAGCGTGGTTTCAGACACAGGTGCCTTTACAACTGTGCTTTCGACTTACACCGGCTTGGTACCTGCGACGACGACTGTTCTCCCCGCCAACATCAACGAACCGGCTACCGTCATTGTGCTTATTCCGAGCGCGACCCCCACAGTCAGCGTCCCGGAGGCCACCAGCGGTGGTTCTGGTGGCGGTGCTGGACTTCCCGCACTCTCTACAAGCCTTTACGATGGATCGGTGACTCTGACTACAACTATTCCGGGAGTATCAGGTCTCTCAGACCAGACTCTGGTACTTGTTCCCAGCATTACACCCACGGCGACATTGCCGGGCGGTGGCGCTGGTGGTCTGCCAGGACTTATCACCAGCCTTTACGATGGTTCCATCACCCTCACGACTACCATTCCCGGGGTTTCAGGAGCTCCTGACGAGACCCTGGTTCTCATTCCCAGCATCACGCCTACGGCGACTTTGCCGGATGATGGTGCTAGTGTCTTGCCTAATCTCATCACCAGTCTTTACGATGGCTTCGTCACTCTTACAACTACGCTGCCTGGAGTCTCGGGTCTCCCAGACCAAACTGTGATCCTTATCCCAAGTATCACGCCGACGGTGAGCCTTCCGGGTGGCGGAGCTGGTGGAGTTCCAGGATTGGTGACCAGTTTCTACGATGGCTCGGTTACTCTCACCACTATCATCCCTGGAGTGACGGGTCTTCCTGATGAGACTCTTGTCCTCATTCCGAGTGTCACGCCGACTGCCAGCCTCCCTGACGACGGAGCCAGTGAATTGCCTGCTCTCATTACTAGTTTCTATGATGGCTCAGTCACACTGACTACCACGATACCTGGTGTCTCCGGTCTTCCAGAGACAGTCGTCCTCATTCCGAATGTTACACCAGCGGCAAGCATCCCGGGATTGTCTACCAGCTTTTACGACGGTTCGGTCACCCTTACGACCACAGTCCCTGGCGTGTCTGGTCTTCCTGACCAGACTCTTGTCTTGGTGCCAAGCATCACGGCCGACCCAGCTGCTACTGGCGGTGCCGGAGGCTTGCCTGCGCTGGCCACCAGTTTCTATGATGGTTTGGTTACCCTTACCACAACAATCCCTGGCGTGTCGGGATTGCCCGACCAGACCCTCGTTCTTGTTCCTGGCGTTACGCCCCAGCCATCTCTACCGGGCACGACTCTGGCCCCTGGAGTATACACGAGCACTTACGATGGATCAATCACGTTCGCTTTGACGATTCCTCCCTATACTATTGGATTACCTGGCGCGACCATCATCTTCGTTCCTAGCCTTCCAGGTGTTCCCACGGCGACACCTACGGCTTTGGGCCAAGGGCTCGTGACCAGCTTGTACGATGGTTCCATTACTTTCACCTCGACTCTTCCTGGTGTTTCTGGCCTGCCCGACGAAACAATCGTCTACATCCCAAGCGTATCAGGGCTTCCCACTGCAGCTCCAACCGCCTCAGCCCCGGGAATCATTACAAGCTTGTACGATGGGTCCGTCACTTTCACGTCAACCCTCCCTGGTGTGTCGGGTCTGCCCGATGAAACCGTCGTTTTCATTCCAAGTGCCCCAGGTCTCCCTACATCGCTTCCAACAGCCTTGGGCCAGGGCTTGGTGACGAGCTTCTACGATGGTTCTGTCACTTTGACATCAACGATTCCTGGTGTCTCGGGTCAGCCAGATGAGACTATCGTCTTCGTCCCTACCATCACAGGCCAGCCAACAGCAGCCCCAACAGGTCCAATCACCAGTTTCTATGATGGCTCCGTCACCTTTACGTCCACAATCCCGGGTGCATCCGGACTGCCTGATGATACCATTGTTTACATCCCAAGTGCTGGAGCTCTTCCCAGCTCTGACTTGGGGGGTCTTCCCACATCTGCGCCTACCGCTCTCGAGGCGGGCTTATACACAAGCACGTACGGCGGCTCCATTACTTTCACTTCGACTCTGCCCGAAGTTTCTGGACTGCCTGGAGCGACCATTATCTTTGTTCCTAGCATTACGGCTCCAGCAGTGCCCTCGGTTACGCCTGGCGGCTTAGTGACAAGTCTCTATGATGGCTCGATTACCTTCACATCTACCATCCCTGGCGTATCTGGTTTGCCCGATGAGACTGTCGTGTTCCTTCCGACCGTCACTAGCCCCGTGGACCCTACCAGCGCGGCTGGAGGTGTTGGAGGCTTGGTCACGAGCCTCTACGACGGCTCAATCACCTTCACCTCAACCATTCCTGGTGTCTCTGGCCTACCAGACGATACGATCATCTTCCTACCGTCCCTTACGGCTCCAGTCGTTCCTACCAGTGTTGCTGGAGGCTTGGTTACGAGTTTCTATGATGGTTCAATCACTTTGACTACCACCATTCCGGGCGCTTCTGGATTCCCAGATGAGACTCTTGTGCTTGTACCTTCGATTACGGACCCTGCCCTCGGAGCAGTGCTCACCAGCTTATACGATGGGTCGATTACGCTTACGACCACTCTTCCTGGCGTATCTGGCTTGCCAGATCAAACCGTCGTCTTGGTCCCTTCGATTACAGCTCCGGCTGTCCCGACAAGTGCTATCGGCGGACTAGTCACTAGCTTGTACGATGGGTCGATTACCCTTACGACTACTATCCCCGGAGTCTCTGGCCTGCCAGACCAGACTGTTGTGCTGGTGCCTTCAATCACCGACCCTGCCCTCCCCACGAGTGCAGTCGGCGGATTGGCGACGAGCCTGTACGACGGATCGGTCACACTCACAACGACGATCCCAGGGGTTTCTGGCTTGCCAGACCAAACCCTTGTCCTCACCCCCAGTGTCACTGGCGCGCCGGCTTTGCCCAATTTCTTTACAAGCACCTATGACGGCTCCATTACATTCACGTCCACGGTTCCGGGTGTTTCGGGCCTGCCGGACGACACCATTGTGTTCGTCCCTGGCATTACCGCTGCTCCATCATTGCCCAATCTCCTCACCAGTACTTATGGCGGTTCTGTTACCCTCACATCCGTCATTCCAGGAGCCTCGGGCGCGCCAGATGAGACCATTGTGCTGGTTCCTGATCTGACCGATTCGCTGGCGTTGCCAAACATTCTCACAAGCACTTATGATGGATCTATCACTGTCACATCCGTCATTCCCGGTGTCACTGGGTTGCCTGATGAGACGATCGTCCTCGTACCTAGTGCTGTGCCAAGTCTGCCAGCTGGTGGCCTTCTTACCAGCACTTACGACGGCTCTATCACGCTCACTTCTGTCATCCCTGGAGTCACCGGTCTGCCCGACGAAACGATCATCCTAGTGCCGAGCGCGACCCCTACGCTGGGTGGTCTTATCACCAGCACCTACGACGGCTCTGTCACCCTTACCTCTGTCATTCCAGGTGCTTCAGGCCTCCCAGATCAGACAGTCATTCTCGTGCCCAGTGTCGATCCAACTTTGCCGGCTGGCGGCTTGCTCACAAGCACTTACGGAGGCTCAGTCATCTCGACAACTACACTCCCGGTTGGAACCGATGGTCTGCCTGGTGCTACCGTTGTCCTGGTCCCCAGCATCACGGGTGCTCCAGCACTTCCGAATGTTTTCACGAGTCTTTACGATGGACAGAGTACTTTCACTTCCATCCTACCTGCAGGAACTGCTGGCGACCCAGGAGCAACGATCATCTTCGTCCCTCGCCCAACAACCGTTGTGTCAGCTGGTGGTCTCTTCACAAGCACTTACGATGGCTCAGTTATTTCAACCACGACACTGCCGGTTGGAACTGACGGCCTTCCTGGTGCCACGATTGTTCTTGTTCCCGGCATTACGGCGACACCGGCGCTCCCTAATATTCTTACGAGCACTTACGATGGCTCAGTTGAGATCACCTCGACGATTCTCAACAGCGCAGGTGATCCTATCGAGACCTTGGTTCTCGTCCCAAGCTCAATAGGTTTGCCTACTGGTGTTCCTACTTTGCCTACAAGCACTTACGACGGCTCTGTCACCGTAACCTCGACAATCCTGGACCCGTCTGGCAACCCTGTTCTTACTGCAATCTTCGTCCCAGGCTCAACTGCCTTGCCCGCATTGCCAACAAGCTTCTATGATGGATCCGTAACCTTAACGTCGACAATTCTGGATCCTTCCGGAAACCCCGTCGAGACCGCTGTGTTCGTCCCAAGTATCACGGGTGTTCCTCAACTGCCGACCAGCCTCTACGATGGCTCGATTACATTGACATCAACCATCTTGGACGCCTCCGGAAACCCAGTTGAGACGGCCGTCTTTGTTCCCAGCGTCACTGGCATTCCTCAATTGCCAACAAGTCTGTACGATGGGTCCATTACTGTTACTTCGACAATCCTTGATGCGTCCGGCAACCCTGTTCAAACTGCAGTGTTTGTGCCAAGCATTACCGGCCTTCCTGCCGCTTTGCCCACGAGCCTTTATGACGGGTCAATCACGGTCACATCAACTATACTCGACGCCTTGGGTAACCCTGTCCAAACCGCGATCTTCGTGCCGAGCGGTGTGCCGAGCGTTACTGGCCTTCCTGGTATCCTCCCAACCAGTCTTTATGACGGGTCGATCACCGTCACGTCAACTATCCTCGATGCTTCTGGTAACCCAGTTGAAACGGCTGTATTTGTACCAAGCATCACTGGTCTACCCAATGTTTTGCCAACAAGTCTATATGACGGGTCCGTTACGCTTACATCAACCATTCTTGATGCTTCCGGAAACCCTGTTCAAACGGCTGTGTTCGTGCCAAGCGTCACTGGCCTACCGGGTGTCCTGCCTACGAGTCTTTACGATGGATCTATCACGCTTACATCGACAATTCTTGACGCGTCAGGTAACCCGATTCAAACGGCTGTCTTCGTTCCAAGCATCACCGGATTGCCTAGTGCACCTGACGCATTGCCGACCAGCCTTTACGATGGATCGGTGACGTTGACGTCTACTATTTTGGACGCGTCCGGAAACCCAATCCAGACTGCCGTGTTTGTGCCAAGCAACACTGGCCTTCCAGGCGCCCTACCAACCAGCTTCTACGATGGTTCGGTGACTCTAACTTCCACAATTCTTGACGCGTCTGGAAACCCAGTTGAAACTGCGGTCTTCGTGCCGTCTATCACTGGCTTGCCGAACGTTCTTCCGACCAGCTTCTACGACGGATCTGTGACGTTGACGTCGACGATCTTGGACCCTTCAGGCAACCCAATCCAGACTGCCGTATTTGTTCCGACGATCACGGGCCTGCCCGACGTGCTCCCAACAAGCTTCTATGATGGATCTGTTACTCTTACTTCCACCATCTTGGACGCATCTGGCAACCCGATTCAGACCGCGGTTTTCATCCCGACAGTCACTGGCTTGCCAAACGTGCTTCCTACTAGCACCTACGATGGATCTGTTACTTTGACTTCCACTATCCTGGATTCTTCTGGTAACCCCGTCTTGACGGCAATTTTCGTTCCCGGATCGACTGCACTACCCAGCCTGGATCTTCCCACCAGCACCTATGATGGCTCTGTCACTCTGACTTCAACCATCCTGGATGCGTCTGGAAATCCTATCCAGACGGCTATCTTTGTGCCCGGCGTGTCTAGCTTGCTGGCCACCGGTCTACCAACGAGTACATATGATGGCTCAGTCACACTGACTTCAACTATTTTGGATGCTTCAGGCAACCCTGTTGAGACCGCAGTATTTGTACCAGGCCTTACGAGCTTGGCAAACAACGGGCTTCCTACCAGCACGTACGATGGCTCTGTCACATTGACATCAACGATCTTGGATGCCTCGGGCGATCCTGTGCAGACCGTCGTTCTCGTGCCGACTGCCACTGGCCTTCCAGGTGGTGGGCTTCTTACCAGCACTTACGACGGATCGATCATCTCAACAACCACACTTCCCGTTGGTACCGATGGCTTGCCTGGCGCGACTGTCATTCTTGTACCCAGCCCAACTGCTCCCGCACTGGATGTCTTGACAAGCACATACCCTGGCTCTGTGACCCTGACAACGACCGTTCCGTTTGGGCCGCCTGGCTCTTCTGCAGTCATCGTTTTGGTTCCAAGTGCTACTGCGGCCCTCGGAGATATCCTCACCACCACGTACGGCGGATCAGTCACTCTCACCAGCACATTCCCTGCTGGCCCGAATGGCGAGGCTCCGTCTACTGTCGTCTATGTTCCGGGCATCACCGACGCCCTGCCAAACTTGCTCACAAGCACGTACGATGGCTCGATTACCTTCACCTCTACGCTCCCAGGGGGTCCCTCTGGTGAGCCTGGTGCCACTGTCATCTTCGTTCCCGGCATTACTGGCGTCCCCTCTGCTCCCACCAGAAGCATCTCGTTCGCGACCATCACAAGCGCATACACTGGTGCTCTTCCCTCCGCCACCACGGTCTTCCCGACCGGCGACAACGATGAAGGTACCATTATCATTCTCGAGCCAGCCTCATCAGGAGCTGGTGGTGACCCGGCTCTGTTCGTCACGCTTACGAGTGGCTACTCCGGTCTCGTGCCATCTGCGACAACCATCCTGCCTACTGGCACCGAGACACTTGGGCAAGTCATCATTTTGGTGCCCACTGCCACGGACGGAAGCACTCCCACCTTCAACTTTGCCACTGTCACCAGCGGATACACCGGTCTGGTACCGTCTGCCACCACCATCTTCCCTACCGGAACCGACACCGACGGGACGGTTATCATTCTTGAGCCGACGGCCACTCAACCGCTTGCATTCACAACCATCACTAGCCCTGGTGTTGGATCCATTACGTCGACTACAACAATCTTGCCGACTGTCACTGGCGATCCCGCCATTGTCGTCATTTTCGACCCGGATCTCCTTGGTACAACCTCGGACCTCCCATCCTACACCACGGTCATCAGCACGTACGATGGATCGTCTCTCAAAACTTCTACCTTGGCACCTGCAGGAACTGACACTATTGGAACTGTTGTGGTTCTCGTACCAAGCGCAAGCGTCTCCATCCCCGGAGTCTCTTCCTATGTCACTCTCATCAGCATTTACAGTGGCTTGGAGCCCCTTGTTTCGACTTTGGCACCTTCTGGCACCGACGCTGTTGGCACCATCATCTTCTACGAACCCATCGCCACTCCAACGGCTGATTTCACAACAATCATCAGCAGTTATGATGGGTCTGCTGTGGCCACGTCAACGATTGCTCCGGCCAATCCTGGCGATATCGGCACTGTCATCATCCTTCAGCCTGCTTCCCTCATCAGCACCCCTGTCCTGTCCGTCACAGCCGTCTTTACTACCATCACCACCACATACGATGGCAGCATCATTCAGACCACGACGGCCTTGCCTACAGGAACTGGCCTCGGTGAAATTGGCACTGTCATTGTCCAGGTTCCAAGCGCGCTGGCCAATGCCTTTACTACTATCACCAGCGGCTACGACGGTTCGGTCACCTTGACCACGACTCTACTGCCTGATGCGACTGACCCTGCCGGTCTTGGCACGGTTATTGTGCAGGTGCCTACCCAGCTTCCATTGAGCACTGGCAGCTTGGGTGAGTTGTTCACGACAGTAACATCGACGTACGCCGGTTCGGTTACTCTTACTTCTACGGCCCTGCCCAATCCTGCTGATCCCACCCCGATTATCTCCATCATTGTTCAGATTCCTGGAGATCCTGCGGCAAGTACAGATCTGTTGGGTGACCTGTTTACGACAGTCACTTCGACTTATGCTGGTTCGGTTACTCTTACATCCACAGCACTCCCTGATCCAGCAGACCCCACTGGCATTAGAACAGTTATTGTGCAAGTTCCTGATCAAGCGGCAACAAGCACTGATGCTTTGGGTAACATCTTCACCACGATTACATCCACGTACGCTGGATCCGTCACCCTTACATCAACAGCTCTTCCAGACATTGCAGACCAGACCGGTATCAGGACCGTCATTGTTCAAGTTCCCGGCGATCAAGCCACATCGACAGACATTTTGGGCGATCTTTTCACCACCGTGACGTCGACATACGCTGGCTCCGTAACTCTCACTTCTACGGCTCTGCCTGACGTTGCGGACCCAAGTGGCATCCGAACAGTCATCGTACAGGTTCCAGGCGACTTGGCGTCTTCCGCGACTGATCCTCTTGCCGCTTCGTTCACAACCATTTTCAGCACGTACCCTGGCTCAGTTACCTTGACAACTACTTTGCTGCCTGCTGCAACCGACCCGTCTGGTCTCGCCACTGTCATTGTCCAGCTTCCGGATATCCTCGCCACGTCTACGGGGGATGCCCTGCCAACATCAACAGACGGTGTTTTGCCTGCGTCTTTCACCACAATCTTCAGCACGTACGACGGCTCCATTCCGCTCACCACGACCTTGCCACCAGACGTTACCGTCCCATCTGGCCTTGGAACTGTCATCGTTCAAATCCCCGCGAGTGCTACTTCCGATCCTTTGGCTGCTTCTTATACTACCATCACCAGCGGCTACACTGGTTTGGTCCCTCAGACCACCACCTTGGCGCCCGCGAATCCTGAAGATCTCGGAACAGTCGTCGTACAAGTCCCCAGCGCTACTGTGGATCCTGGAGTCTTCCTTACCACCGTCACAAGTGGCTACGATGGCTCAATTACTCAACTCACCACTCTGCCCGTTGCAACTATTGATGGTTCGACGATTCAAACTGTGATCGCGCAGGTTCCTACCCTTGTGCCGACTGACTCGATTGATCTTGATGATCTCCTCGTCACTTTGACAAATGGCTATGACGGTTCTGTGACCTTGACAACAACATTGCCTGCGGTTACCATTGATGGATCGACAATCCGGTCTGTTATTGTTCAAGTTCCGACTCAGACAGCTCTGCCTGGTGTTTTCCTTACCACTCTTACAAGTGGCTACGATGGCTCAGTTACGCAGACAACCACCTTGCCTGTTGCTACTGTTGGAGGTCTTCCCATCCAGACCGTGGTTGTGCAGGTCCCTACTGCCACAGTCTCCGACGGAATCCAGTTCACCACTATCACCAGTGGTTACGACGGACTTCTCACTCAGACGACGAGCTTTCCCATTGGTACAGTCGGCGGCGTTCCGGTCCAGACAGTCGTTGTCCAGGTTCCTACCTCTACGGACCCTCTTGGCGCTCTGTACACGACTCTCACAAGCGCTTATCCCGGCTCGGTCACCTTGACCACCACTCTCGCTCCGGCTGGTACAGGTATTTCTGAGTTGGGTACTGTTGTCGTCCAGGTGCCGTCCGATGTTCTCTCTGGTGCGACCCAGTACACTACTCTTACCAGTGGATACGACGGTTCTCTACTGCTTACGCAGACTGGTATCACCACCGGCGCAGATGGTCTCGCTACTGTTATCGTTTTGCAGCCAACTGGAACACTTACAGTTCTCCCGTCCAACAGTGCAAGCGCTACTGAATCTGGCGACCCTGCTTTATTCATTACGATCACAACTGGCTACCCAGGCTCGGTCATCGCTACCCAAACTGACTCGGTCACTGGCCCTGATGGTCTCGTCACTGTCGTCGTCCAGACTCCCACGATCACTGCTCTGCCTAGTCTTGACTACACCACCATCACGAGCGGATATGACGGCTCGGTCCTGCAAACCCTTATTGGATCAGCCACGGGTGCAGACGGTCTTGCTACCGTCATTGTGCAGGTTCCTACTGGATCTATCACAGTCGCACCGGCGACGTCAGGAACTAGCGTGCCCGGCATCTCGTACACCACTGTCACTGAGACTTACGATGGCTCGTTCCTCCAGACGCTCATCGGCTCAATCCTTGGTCTTGATGGTCTCGCAACGGTTCTTGTGCAAGTTCCTAAAATCAGTATCGATATCTCGATCTCTCTTGGCTTGCCTTCCCTCGGACCGGGTGCCACTCCCACGATTACCGTCGATCATTCGGCTACTACCAGTGTCCCTGGCTTATCATACACCACCGTCACAAGTGGTTACGATGGCTCAATCGTCCAGACCCAGCTCGGATCCGTCACCGGCATCGATGGACTCGCCACTGCTGTCGTTCTGGTACCCAGCACCGCGGCCACTCTGCCGACTTCGGTTACTGAGAACATCATCTCGTACATCACGGTTACGACTGGCTACGATGGTTCTATCACTTTGTTCCAGACTATTGCACCCGCAGCTTCTGGCCTTCCTGGCACCGTCCTCGCCCAGATCCCGACTGCGGCAGGGCCCATCACGGCGCCGACAATCACCACGCCTTCACTTACCGGCTCAGGCGGAACTGTCACGGTCACATCGTTCGACCCGAGCATGACTGGTTCTGCTTTTATCACAACGACGTTGTCGCCCTCTCGTCTCAGTGACCCAGTCACGGTGCTCGTCGCGGTTCCTCGGCGACTCTTCTTGGTCACAACCTCGATCCCAGGCCTGTCATCTGTGCGTACGTCAACATTGTCCATCGGTCTCGACGGCATTCAGACCGTCATGGTACAGGTCCCAGCTCTCTCGACTCCCACAGCGCTGTCAACGCCTACAATTGGCGCGATCACCACCGTCACCACTCCTTATGCAGGCTCGGTCACTTTGATCCAGACCCAGACTCCAATCAACATTGGCGACCCAACTACCGTGCTTGTTCAAGTTCCAGAGGCGCTGTTCGAGATCACCTCAACGCGCTTTGGAGCAACTTCTGCAGGAACGACCACGGTATCGCCAATTGGCACTGGTGTTCCCACAGTCATCATCGATGTTCCGGGAGCCTTCTCTACCATCACAAGCGGATACTCCGGTCTCATTCCGTCTACCACCACGATCTTGCCCACAGGTCTTGATGACATTGGCCTTATTATCATCCAGACGCCGACTGCCGACGTCAGCTCAATTGGAGGCACCATCTTCACTACCGCTCCTGGTACTGGTCTTATTCCGACTACCACCACGGTTACCGGTACTGATGGTATCGTGTCTGTGATTGTCGAGACTCCCATGATTGGCGTGACTTCTGGAGGCACCGTCTTCACCACCGTTCCGGGAACTGGCCTTCTTCCGACGGCCACCACCGTTACTGGTGCTGATGGAATTGTGTCTGTCATTTTCGAGACTCCCACTGTCTCGGCGACCGCCATTCCTACTACCGTCTTCACCACGGTACCCGGAACTGGATTGCTTCCTACAGCAACTACAGTCACTGGTGCCGATGGCGTTGTCTCTGTCATCTTCCAGACTCCCACGACCTCGGGCGAGCTGCCCACGGTCTTTACCACGATCCCTGGAACTGGTGCTCTCCCTGCAACACTCACAGTCACCGGAACCGATGGAGTGGTTTCAGTCATTTTCGAGGCACCCACAGTCACTTCAGGAGGTCTTCCCACGACCATCTTTACCACCGTTCCTGGCACCGGTCTGCTTCCCGAGGCCACGACCGTTACGGGCGCAGATGGCATCGTTTCGGTCATCTTCCAAACACCCACAACGGCTGCACCAGGCGCACCGACTACCGTCTTTACCACGGCACCTGGCACTGGTCTCTTGCCCGCGACCACCACGGTTACCGGCGCTGATGGCATCGTCTCCGTCATCTTCCTCGACCCTGACACCTCTGGCGAGCCTACAATCACGCCAACTGCAGCCACCACCGTCTTCACCACCATCCCAGGCACTGGAGTCCTCCCCGCCACCAACATCGTTACCGGTCCCGATGGAGTGGTCTCGGTCATTGTCTCCGAGGCCACAGCCACAAGCATCCCTGGGGTTTCATATACCACTATTACCACGGGAGGCCCGGCTTTGGCTACAAGAACCATCCTGCCATCCGTTCTTGGTGATTTGGCAACCGTTATTGTCGAGACTCCCACTTTGGATGCCAGTCCTGGTGCTTTCATCACGGTCACCTCAGCTGGCCCCGTCCCGACTACTTTCACCCTTCTCCCGGCTTCTCTGGGCGAAACCGGTACTGTTGTGATCGTCTCGACCACATCCTCGGACCTGGCTGTCGACCCGGCTCTGTCATTCACCACAGTCTTCTCGGCCGGCCCAGTCCCTACGACTCTTACAATTTTGCCAGCCATTTCTGGAGACCTCGGCACTATCATCGTGGTCCCGATAGCATCTTCTGACCTTCCCATTGATCCGGCACTTTCACTCACTACTGTGTTCTCTGCTGGTCCTATCCCGACAACCTTCACCCTCCCCCCTGCAGTCAGCGGACTGCCAGGCACGGTTGTGATCGTTCCTTCAGCAACCTCTTCGGACTTGCTTGCCGACCCTGCTCTCGAATACACCACTGTGTTCTCTGCTGGCCCCATCCCGACGACCTTCACTCTTGCTCCAGCATCTAGTGGGTTGCCAGGCACAGTCGTGGTCGTCCCCTCGACGACTTCTTCGGACCTGCTCGTCGACCCGGCTCTCGAGTACACCACCGTATTCTCCGCTGGTCCCGTTCCTACCACCTACACACTTCCTCCGGCAATCAGTGGTCTTCCTGGCACGGTGGTTGTTGTTCCGTCAGCAACCTCGTCAGACTTGCTCGCTGACCCCGCCCTGCAATTCACCACTGTCTTCTCTGCGGGTCCTGTTCCGACGACTTTCACAATCACTCCTGCTGTCAGCGGCTCTCTTGGTACAGTTGTCATTGTGCCGTCAGCAACTTCTTCGGACTTGCTCATCGACCCCGCGATCCAATATACGACCGTCATCTCTGCAGGTCCTATTCCTACGACTTACACAATCCCTCCCGCAGCAAGTGGTCTCCCTGGTACTATTGTCGTTGTTCCCACAGCTTCATCCGATCTGTCGATCGACCCTGCTCTCTCACTTACAACGGTTTTCTCTGCGGGTCCAATCCCTACGACTTACACCCTTCCTCCAGCATCAAGTGGTCTTCCAGGAACCGTCGTTGTGGTCCCTACCGCTTCGTCCGATCTGCCTATCGACCCGGCATTGTCGTACACAACCGTCTTTTCTGCCGGTCCCATTCCCACGACGTTCACTCTGCCGCCCCTGTCAAGCGGTCTTCCTGGTACTGTGGTGGTGGTTCCGTCGGCCACCTCGGGTTTGCCAATCGACCCTGCGCTGTCATACACGACAATCTTCTCAGCTGGTCCTATCCCAACCACCCTTACGATTCCGCCTGCGGCGAGCGGCCTTCCAGGCACCGTCATTATTCAGTCTCCTGGCGTCTTCTTCGACACGATTACATCGACGTACGATGGGACCGCTCCCGCCTTGTCGACTGTCTTCCCGACTGCGGCTGGTGAAACCGGTACCGTTATCGTCCTTGTGCCTTCCGGCCTTGTCCCTTCTGCCACGGTGCCGTTGACGACACCGACTCTCACCCGCAGCCAGGTCACGATCACTTCTCTTTACACTGGCAGGATTCGGTTCAGCACCACCATTGGCGTCAGCATCCAAGGAGACCCAACTCTTCCGGACACGGTCGTTGTGTACGTCCCCTTCACCGAGGGCGTATCTGCGACGCCGACGGCAACCCCTGGTGCAGTTACGACGATTTTCACCGGAATCCCAGGAACGTTCGCGGGACCTCAGACTACCACTCTACCAATCGGCGCAGATGGTGTGGAAACAGTCCTCATCCAGACTGCTCTTCCTGCGCTCACTCCCCCTGCTACTGGTCTCACCACAATCTTCACTGGCATCCCGGGAACTTTCGTAGGCCCCGTCACCACAACATTGCCTGCTGGCCCCGACGGCCTCCAGACAGTTCTTATTCAGACTGCTCTTCCTGGTGTCACTCCTACCGCCACTGGTCTTACTACGATTTTCACTGGGGTTCCGGGAACTTTCGTGGGTCCTATCACCACGACACTGCCCGCTGGACCTGATGGTATCGAAACGGTACTCATTCAGACTGCCCTTTCCGGCGTTGTTCCGACTGCCACTGGGCTTACCACGATCTTCACCGGCATTCCAGGAACTTTCGTGGGAAGCTTGACGACAACGCTTTCGGCCGGCCTTGATGGCATTGAAACAGTATTGATCCAAACTGCTTTGCCTAGCATTACGCCGACCGCTACTGCCGTCACGACCGTTTTCACTGGTATTCCCGGAACATTCTTGGGTTCCCTGACGACGACGCTTCCCGCTGGCCCTGATGGTATCGAAACCGTTCTTATTCAGACTGCGTTATCAGGAGTCGTCCCGAGCGCGACCGCTGCCACGACAATCTTCACCGGTGTTCCTGGCACCTTCTTGGGTTCTGTGACAACCACTCTACCTGCTGGACTTGATGGTATCGAGACCGTTCTCATCCAAACAGCTCTTCCAACGGGAGGCCCTACGGCTAGCCCGACCGCCGGTCCGACCGCAGTCACTACGGTATTTACAGGTATCCCAGGAACCTTCATAGGATCCCTGACAACCACTTTACCCGCCGGCCCAGATGGTATCGAAACTGTTCTGATCCAGACCGCGTTGACTGCTATCCCAAGCGCAACTGGCCTGACGACGATCTTCACTGGTATCCCTGGCACTTTCATCGGTCCTGTGACAACAACCTTGCCCGCTGGCCCTGATGGAATCGAGACAGTCCTCATTCAGACTGCTCTTAGTGCTATCCCGACAGCCACTGGTTTGACAACGATCTTTACGGGTATTCCTGGCACGTTCTTGGGTCCTCTCACGACCACGCTCCCGGCTGGTCTTGACGGCATTGAGACCGTCCTCATCCAAACTGCTTTGAGTGCTATTCCGACCGCTACTGGTCTTACCACCGTGTTCACTGGAATCCCAGGCACTTTCGTTGGACCCGTCACAACAACTCTTCCGGTCGGTCCAAATGGTATCGAGACGGTGCTTATCCAGACTGCTCTGCCTACGGCAAACCCGACCGCAGTTACTACCATCTTTACTGGTATTCCGGGAACATTCTTGGGCTCTTTGACAACAACTCTGCCCGCCGGTCTGGACGGCATTGAGACGGTACTCATCCAGACCGCCCTGCCTACGGCTACCGCTGGCGCGATTACCACAATCTTCACCGCCGTTCCTGGAACCTTCTCTGGGGTCCGCACTACAACGCTGCCAGTCGGTCTCGATGGTATCGAGACTGTCCTTGTTGAGAGTGCCCTGCCAACCGCTCCCCCGAGTGTCACTGTCACGTACACGACCATCTTCTCGGGCATCGTTGGCACGTTTGTTGGACCTCAAACGTCCACACTCCCCGCCGGACCTGATGGTATCGCAACTGTCATTATTGCTTCTGCAATCCCGTCTGAAAGCATTCGCTTCACCACGATTCTCACAGGACTCCCTGGAACATTTACCGGCACTCAGGTCACCACCTTGCCGGTCGGCACCGACGGCATTGCGACTGTCTTGTTGCAAACCGCTCTGCCTACGGCTTCGCCAGTCTCGTACACGACACTGCTTACAGGTATTCCGGGTACCTTCATTGGCACTCAAGCAACTACTATGCCTGCTGGCACTGACGGCATTGCTACCGTATTGCTTCAAACTGCCTTGCCCACTGTCGCACCTGTTTCCTACACCACTCTGTTCTCGGGTGTGCCTGGTACCTTCGTGGGCACCGTGGCCACAACGCTCCCTGCCGGTACGGACGGCATCGCAACTGTCATCTTTCAAACCGCTCTCCCTACACCTACAAGTGCCCCTGGTGCTTCGTACACGACTATCCTGACTGGTGTGCCGGGAACGTTTATTGGTACTCTGGCAACCACCTTGCCTGCAGGCCCTGATGGTCTTGGCACTGTTCTTTTGCAAACTGCTTTGCCGATTGCAACTTCAACTCCCCCTGGACTGCAGTACACCACGATTCTTACTGGTGTTCCGGGAACGTTTGCCGGAACTCAAACCAACACTTTGCCCTTGATTTCCGGCGCCACGATCGGAACAGTCCTTTTGGAGACCGCCATTCCCACCGCTAGCCCGATCGAATACACGACGCTGCTTACTGGCGTCCCGGGTACTTTCATCGGAACCCAGACGACCACGCTCCCGATCATCAGCGGCACTGTTGGCACAGTCCTGATCCAGACTGCTCTGCCTACCGCTCAAAGTATCGACATTACGTACGTCACCGTCATTACTGGCGTCCTGGGCACATTCCCTGGAACCCGCGCTTCAACGGCCCAGCCTACTGGAACCCAACGAACCGGTACCGTCTTCTTGGAGACCGCGATTCCTGCAATCACCTCGAATGCGGTTTCGTACGTCACAATTGTCACTGGAATCCCGGCGACCTTCACCGGTACCCAAACTCGAACCTTGTCTGGTATCGGAGTGGATGGCCTCGGCACTGTTCTCTTGGAGACTGCGCTGCCCATCACAACTCCGATCTCCTACACGACTATCTTCTCTGGCATTCCTGGAACGTTTATCGGCACACAGGCTCTCACTCTGGCTCCTGGTACTGATGGATTGGGTACCGTTGTGTTACAGACTGCCATTCCCTCGGTCCCTGTTCAATCGTTCACAACCATCTTCTCCGGTATCCCGGGTACGTTCCTTGGAACTCAAACTCGTACTCTGTCTGGTACTGGCGCAGATGGCCTCGGAACGGTTGTGTTGGAGACGGCATTGCCAACGGCACTCGCTCAGTCCTACACGACCATATTTTCTGGCGTTCCGGGCACCTTTGTCGGCACTTCAACGCTTACCCTCCCGGGCACTGGCACGAACGGCCTCGGCACTGTCCTTCTTCAGACAGCATTTCCTACTGCGCTCGCGGCTTCGTACACGACGGTCTTCTCTGGCATCCCAGGAACATTCCTGGGAACCCAAACTCGCACCCTCTCTGGAACTGGTGCAGACGGTCTTGGTACAGTTGTTTTGGAGACTGCTTTGCCTACGGCATTGGCCCAGTCTTATACCACGATTTTCTCTGGCGTCCCTGGCACGTTCGTGGGAACTTCGACGCTCACTCTGCCTGGCACTGGTATCGACGGACTTGGCACGGTCGTTCTTCAGACGGCTATCCCTACTGCAAGCCCAACTGTGAGCCTTCAGTTCACCACGCGTGTTACGGGTATTCCTGGATCCTTCATCGGAACCCAGACGACTACTCTACCTGTCGTTGGCACTGGCAACTTGGCCACGGTCCTACTTCAGACTGCCGTTCCTGTGGTGTCTTACGTGACCCAGGTCACGGGCATTCCGGGCACTTTCGTTGGAACAAGCACGCGAACCCTGCCCATCGCCGGCACAGGCAACGTGGGAACGATTCTTCTGGAGACAGCCGTTCCTTTGGCTTCGTTCACGACCATCTTCAGCGGTGTCCCTGGCACATTCGCCGGAACGCAGACTCGCACTTTGCCAGCTCTTGGCACTGACGGTCTGATTACCGTCGTTCTTGAGACTGCTGTACCCGAGGCTACTTCATCCGCTGCGCCGTCTGTCACGGTCATCAACACATCCTATGTCACGATCATCACGGGTGTCTTTGGTACTTTCGATGGAACTCAGACAACGACCCTACCTGCCGCGGTCACCAATCCTGGCTTGGTCACTGTCGTCCTTCAGACTGCCATCCCTAGCGCTGGCACAACTGCGTTCACCACGATCCTCACAGGCATCCCTGGCGCCACTTTCCCCGGCACCAGGGCGAGCACTTTGCCCGTCATTGGAACTCTCGGAACTGTACTCCTCGAGACAGCCATTCCCAGTGTACCCGCGACTTCATTCACGACGATCTTCACTGGAATCCCAGGAGCCACGTTCGTCGGCACCCAGTTCAGCACTCTACCTGTCACCGGTTCCATTGGCACCGTTCTCGCAGAGACTGCTCTGCCTGCCATCCCGACAATGTCGCTCACCACCATCTTCACTGGTATTCCTGGAGCTACTTTCATCGGTACGCAGTTCTCGACTCTTCCCGCTACTGGAACGATCGGCACGGTATTGGCTCAAACCGCGCTCCCTGCCCTTCCGACGACCTCGTTCACCACGATCTTCAGTGGAATTCCAGGAGCTACCTTCGTTGGTCCTCTCACCACCACGCTTCCAGTTACTGGCACGATTGGCACCGTTATCATCGAGAGTGCACTGCCCGCGGTGATTTCGTACATCACCGTTCCAACTGGCGTGCCCGGCGCAAGCTTCGTCGGCACTCAGTTCTCTACCCTACCCCTCACAGGTGCCATTGGTACTGTCTTGGCTCAAACCGCGCTCCCGGCTGACATTTCGTATGTCACGATTCCCACCGGAGTACCTGGGGCTACCTTCATCGGAACCCAACTCACCACTCTCCCGGTGACTGGTACTATTGGTACGGTTTTGGCTCAAACTGCCATCCCCAATGCAGTCACGTCTTATACCACGGTCCTCACTGGCGTCATCGGCACCTTTGCCGGCACACGAGCAACAACTCTTCCCGTTACTGGCACCCTTGGAACCGTGCTCTTGGAGACAGCTCTTCCAGTGCCGACGTCGTACACGACGCTCATCACCGGAATCCCGGGCACATTTATCGGCGCTCAGACAACTACCTTGGCAGGCTCAGGAACAGTCGGCACTGTACTTATACAGACGGCGCTGCCTCTGCCACCAGTCACTTCGTACACCACGATCCCGACTGGCACCATCGGCACGTTCGTCGGCACTCAGACAATCACCTTGCCGCTTACTGGCACTTTGGGCACCGTTTTGCTCCAGACCGCCATCCCGCCTATTGTTACTGTCTACACCACGATTACTCGCGGCGTCACTGACACGTTTGTGGGCACTCGTACTTCAACGGGCCCGGTCAGCGGAACGCTGGGTACGGTATTCGAGGAAACGGCTATTCCGCCTTTGTCTACATCATACGTCACTCTCGTCACTGGTGTTATCGGGACATTTGCGGGTACGCAGACGACGACTTTGCCCGTTACTGGAAACATCGGCACCGTCTTGCTTGAGACTGCTTTACCTGTTCCAACCTCCTACACGACAATCTTGACTGGCGCTCCTGGCACTTTCACTGGCACTCGCGTGACGACGCTACCCGTCAGCGGCACCCTTGGTACGGTTCTTTTGCAGACGGCGTTGCCCATCCCAACGTCATACGTTACAGTCACAACCGGCATTCCGGGCACCTTCACTGGTACTCAGGTATCAACGATCCCAGGATCTGACACTATTGCCACCGTGGTGCTTCAAACGGCCCTCCCCCTCCCTACCTCGTACACCACACTCCTCACTGGTGCCCCCGGCACCTTTGTTGGAACCAGAACTACAACTTTGCCGGTTTCTGGCACCCTCGGAACTGTCTTGCTCCAAACTGCTCTCCCTCTGCCGACATCATATGTCACGCAGACTACGGGCGTCCTTGGTGCTACGTTCCTCGGCACTCAGACAACGACAATTGGATCCGGAACCCTGGCCACGGTACTCCTCGAGACGGCCCTTCCCTTCCCTACATCGTACACCACGATCTTCACAGGTGTCCCTGGAGCCACTTTCCCAGGAACGCAGACGGTTACTCTCTCTGCTACCGGCACCCTGGCAACAGTCTTGGTTCAGTCCTCAGTTCCAATTCCGACGTCATACACAACCGTCTTCACAGGCATTCCGGGAGCCACCTTTGCTGGACCTCAGACTTCTACACTCGTAGGGTCTGGATCCATCGCAACTGTGCTCATCCAGACTGCTCTGCCAATCCCGACATCGTACACCACGATCGTCACTGGCCTTGCCGGAACTGTGTTCCCCGGAACCCAGACGGTTACGCTTTCGGCCACGGGAACCCTCGGAACCGTTCTGCTTCAGACTGCCATTCCGTACACGACCGTTCTCACAGGAATTCCTGGAACCTTCATCGGAACCCAGGCAATCACCATTCCTCCGGTCGGAAGCCAGCTTGGAACAGTCCTTCTCCAAACCGCTTTGCCGCTCTCATACACCACAGTTACTAGTGGAGTCACGAGCGACTTCACCGGCACAAGAACTCTTACTCTTGATGGCACGGGCACCAACATCCGAACTGTCGTCTTGGAGACTGCCATCCCTGCCCAGGTCATTGTCTCTTACACGACAATCATCACAGGTATTCTCGGCACTTTCGCCGGCACTCAGACGTCTACAGTTCCCACAACTGGGCCTGGCCAGAGCCTCGTCACCGTTTTCTTGGAGACCGCTATTCGCCCGATTTCATTCACGACAGTCTTCAGCGGAGTCGTCGGCAACTTTGCAGGCACTTCAACCGTTACTCTTCCCACGACCGCCGGCCAGGCCCTTGGTACCGTGGTTCTGCAAACCGCGCTGCAAACTACATCCTACATCACAATTCCTTCGGGCGTACCTGGCAACTTCCAAGGCACCTCACTCATCACCTTGGACGGCACTGGTCTCATCAGAACCGTTATCGCGGAGACAGCCTTGCCCACAACATCGTACACGACGATTGTGTCAGGAGTTGCTGGTAACTTCCAGGGCACTTCTCTCATCACTCTGTCAGGCACTGGTCTCATCCGAACTGTTATTGCCGAAACCGCGATCCCAACGACTGGTTACGTGACGATTCCCACCGGCGTGCCCGGCAACTTTGCTGGAACTTCGCTCATCACCCAGTCTGCCGCTCCTGGCGCCACGCTCATCACCGTCTTGGCCCAAACAGCCATTCCGACCACCGGATATGTGACCATTCCTACTGGCGTTCCTGGTAACTTCCAGGGTACGTCTTTGATCACGCAGTCGGCTGCCGCAGGTGCCACGTTGATTACTGTGTTGGCTCAAACCGCCATTCCCACGACGGGATACGTGACAATTCCCACGGGTGTACCTGGAAACTTCCAGGGCACATCTTTGATCACGCAGTCCGCCGCCGCAGGAGCAACGCTCATCACCGTGTTAGCCCAAACAGCCATTCCTACTACAGGTTATGTGACAATCCCGACTGGCGTCACTGGCAACTTCGCGGGCACCTCCTTGGTCACTCAGTCTGCTCCCGCAGGTGCCACGTTGATAACGGTGCTGGCTCAGACTGCTATTCGTACAACAGGATATATCACCATTCCCACGGGTGTCACTGGGAACTTTGCCGGCACATCTTTGGTCACTCAATCTGCTGCCGCGGGAGCTACTCTCATCACGGTTCTAGCACAGACGGCCATTCCGACGACGGGATACATCACCATCCCTACCGGTGTGACAGGCACGTTCCAAGGCACGTCTCTGGTCACGCAATCCGCAGCTGCTGGCGCTACCCTCATCACCGTTCTCGCGCAGACAGCTCTGCCGACAACCCGCTTCACTACCATCCCGACTGGTGTTCCTGGAAACTTCCAAGGCACCTCGCTGGTGACTCAGTCAGCCGCCGCGGGAGCTACTCTCATCACGGTTCAGGCACAGACAGCTCTGCCTACCACGGCTACAACTACCGTCCTCACCGGTGTGCAGGGTGTCTTTGCTGGAACTTCATACCTCACCCTTACAGGCAGCGGAACCATCGTCACTGTTCTCGCCCAGACGGCCCTTGCTCAGACTTCTTACGTGACCATCCCCTCTGGAGTGCCTGGCGCTACCTTCACCGGTACTTCACTGGTCACTCAGTCCGGAACAGGTTTTGTCAGAACAGTAATCGCAGAGACTGCGCTGCCAACGACAACGTATGTTACTATTCCATCTGGAGTCACTGGAGCCGCCTTCACTGGCACTTCTCTCATTACCCAATCGGGCACTGGACTTACTAGAACCGTCATTGCGGCTACGGCCGTTCCCATCTCGACCGTCTACACGACCATCCCGACTGGAGTTGGCGGTTCTTTCTCGGGAACTCGCTACTCAACCGTCAGTGGCACCGGCAGTCTCATCACCGTGTTTGCACAGACTCGCATTCCCACGGCCACACGAGTCGTTACGCAGACGTCCTCGCCATCGGGATGTATCCCTACACCCGCCGCAAGCCCTACTGGACGCTGTATCAACCAGTCACAAGTCAACGCAGTTCCCATCCCGACTCAGTGTTCTAGCTTGGATCAAACCCTCCTCGGCGGGGTCCTTACCACTCCTAGTACGTCGCAGCTCAACGCTTGTCAAGCCGCGTTGGGCAACTATGCCACCATCCCTCAGGTTGCGGCTTGTACCGTATCCGGTCTCAGGCTCCTCGGCACATACGCCGAATGCATCAGGACCGGTCTTGCCAGTGCAACTGGCTGTGTCACAAGCCTGCCGATCTCGTGTACCAATATCGAGGCTGCGACGGGTGTCGCCGCCATTACGGCTCAGGCCAACGTATGTATCGCAAACTTGGGAATCTTCGGATATTCTGGGCTGTTCGGCAGCACCGTCAATTTGGCAACTTGCATCACGAACAACGCAGCCACTTCTGGTCTGGCGGTCCTCAATTGTATCGAACAAGGCACCGGCCTGCCCATCAACAGCTCCAGAGCAAGCACGGCGGTACTGTGCCCGTCAGGAACAGCTTGCCCACAAGTTCCCACAGCTTGCGGAGCCCTTCTGGATGCGTCGTTCAACTTGACGAACGGTCTCGAAGCACAGGTCAACCTCTGTCAGGCGGCTCTGGTGGTCAACTCCATTACAGGTGTTCTCAGCACGACTCTTGCAAACCCCTTGGGCACAGTCGACTGTCTGGTCGGCACCCTGCTCACGACCGTCAACAATCTGCTCAGTCCACAGCAGCAATACGGCCAGTGTTTCTTGCAAAAGATCCAAGCCAGCTGTATCACCAGCTTGCCTAAGACCTGTCTCAACATCGGCGTGGGCGCCCAAGCGAGCGGCCTTGCCAGCAACGTGAACGCGGCGGTATCAGTCACGGATCTCCTCAGCTGTGTCACGAGTCTAGGCTTGCTGGCGAACAGAGTCGACCCGAACTGCTTCAACGTCAGCTTGGGCTCACAAGGCATCGTTTCTTGCCTGAACCTCAGCTTGTTCGGCGTCGCCACCGTCAACGTTGTCACCAAATAAGGTGGCTTGACTACCCCTCTCTATGCATTTTTTCTTATGTTCAATGGTGTTGGAGGAAATGAAATTGTTTGGAGGGGAGAAAAAGCACCCACTGCTCCCCCTGTTTTTATGTTCAGAATTACGCTGGCTTCTCTTGCGCCGATTAAGCAAGACGTTACTTTTACAGACACAAGACTGTTAATCATGTAATCATAATATGAATACCACCTTCATTTGTTCAACTATTCGTATCGTATTCTGTGACCTGTCACATTAAGCTTGCCTGAAAAGAATTTGATGTGGTATTTGCTTGACAACTTGACGATAGACTGTTCACTAACTCAGCTGATTTGGAATGGCCTGAGGTCGCCTGAAAGATCTAAATGCTCAGTGCACTGCGGGGAGCATGTACGCTGAAATCGGCGGCCTTGACTCGCATCATAAGGGCGAAGGGTGGCATGAGATGACAGGTGCTAGGACACCAGGGGAGGATAGGACTCACAGTGACAGATCCTGGATGAACCGAACGTACCAGCCCCCTGAAGCTCGCTGTGGGCCTGATCGTGCCACTAAAGATCAGGGCTCCCAGACACAGGAAGAGCATTGCTCTTTTACCTGCTCAAGACATTGTTAGACGGCAAGACTTTCACTACTCTCAGGTAACATCATCAATCAGATTTCTGTCGAGTGGGATTGCTTAAACATATATTGGTATTATTCATATCTCATAACCCAGTGGGTTCGTCTTCCCTGCCGCCTAGACAGAGTCCGCATACTCCCAAATATGCTTCTCGACAACGTCGAGCGACTTCATCTCCTCGTTCTCCTTCTTGATCTCCATCACCCTCTTCTTGTACTTGTCGTTCGCCAGCACATCCTCAACACCCTCGGCGACCTGCTGGGGCGTCGGCTTGCCAGTCTTGAGGTTGTGCGCCACACCAGTCCACTCGCCGCGCATCGAAATCTCGGGCTTGTCCTCGGTGTCGCCGCCAAGCACCATCGGCACGCCGTTGACGATGCCGTGCAAGAATCCGCCGTACCCGGCGTTCAAGACCCACACGTCGGCGTACTGCAGCAGAGCATCATAGGAGAGGAAGTCGGCGACCCTCGTGTTGGCGGGGATTTGCAGTTCCTCCGGCAATGCGGCACCCTTGACGCCGAGAATGGCAACGACGATGATATCGTCGCGGTGCGCCAGCCCCTGAATCGTGGGGATGATGAGGTCGGTGTAGTCCGTTGCGACAGTACCTTGAGCCACGCCAACAATCTTCTTGTTGCCAGCTGTGACGTCGCTCCACCACTCGGGATACTTGTAGTTGGGATCGATGGGCTTGGGAGGCAGGCAGCCGGCGAACTTGATCACCTCTGGGTGGTCTGAACGGGGGTATTCGAGGCTTGGCGAGCACATCTGGAGAGTGACGTCGTAGCTTGTCTGCCATGTCTCGAATAGCGAAGGGGACAGTTCCTTGGTTGCTCCTAGGGACTTGAGCACTTTGGTGTACTCCTGAGCTGGCTGGCCAAAGGGACCAAAGGGGCTGAAGAACATCTCGTTGAGAAGCTTGTTCCGAGCTCGGCCAGAATAGGTCGAGTCGGGAGGGAGGCCAGGGCCGAACGGGGCAGTGTCCTGACTTGTCACAACGATTGGGACGATGTTGATGTCGACTACAGGTGGCCTCGTCGCGAAGCCCTTCGGGAGGGGTGCGCCGTACATCATGGGAGCAAGGCCCATGAAGAAGGTCTCATGGACGATGATGACTTGCTGAGACGGACGTCTCTCGCGAATCTTCTCAAGCGTGTTCATAATGGTTCTGAACAAGTCTGGAATAGGCTTGATGAAGACCTCGTTAAGGTCGAAGATGAGGCGGGGGATGCCAACGGGAACCTTGTTCCGGACTTGATTGAACTCCTCGGTAATCATGGGTGGGATGGGAATATGCTCGGCGCCCATCCGCTTGAGCTGAGGCTTAAATTCTTCGCCGGCGATGAAGGTGGCCTCGAAGCCCCTCTGGATCATCTCCGCAGCGATCTGGAGAAGAGGATAGGTGTGGCCGGTGGCAGGGGCCGCGGCGAACAGGAGGTAGGGACGCTTCTTGTTGCCATCACCGACACCGTCAATGGCTACGGCCTCGACGGCCTCGACCAGTGAGTCTCCGGATATCGTCATGGTGCTCGGCCTGTTTGTTCGATGTTAGAGATTGAAAATGCCCAATTGTAAAGACTGGAAGTGATATCTTGATGCTGATGAGGGGTGAAAACCGGGGCTTCAAGAGATCGTTCGAGGAGGGTTGCGACGGTGTATATAAGTGGTTGGACATATGAGTGACCTGTAGATGTGGAGGCTCAAAGCGACAACGCGAAGAACAAACGTCCCGCTACTCGACCAGATGTCATCCGCTAAGCCGGGGAGCCACACGCGTCAAAGACCGCATGGCTGTGTATGGTTGCGTTGTCGCTGAAGTCTGACGACAGATTTTAGTCTGGCGGATAGCTACAAGCTTGGGAGAACGGGAATTCCAAAAAAGGCACAAAGCAGACCAAAAGGTCCAATCGCTTAGGCCTTTTCTTGAGCTCGACAGCCCTGGAAAGCCCTGTGAGGTTGCCAGACAACTCACATTCTCAACCTCCCGTGATGCCATTCGTCGAAGCTCGGCCTCGGAGATCTAATCATGTGCGGGCGAGAGACGCAGTGGCAGGTTTGGGTCCTTAAGGCCCTCTGCCAAGTGTCGATGCCTCTGCGTTTGATGATGGCATTGGAGTGGGAAAACGGCCCGCAGGATCAGGGTCCTTGCAGGTTTAGCCTCAGCCATAAGCGCGATTCTGAGATGGGCGAATTGTTTTACCTAGTGCGGTTGCGAATTGGGCTAATAGTCTCAACCGCGTCAATGATGTAAGGCAGCAAGATTTCCTTAGCCTCACGGCATTCGCGTTCCGTCCAACGGATGATCTGCTTGGTTGCAACGTAGGCAGCGAGAATCAGGCAAAAGATCGGCACTACCGATAAGTCGGATAGATACCGACGGGACATTGAGGCAGCCTTGACCTCTTGGGACATGCCACCCACCAAGACGTCTTGCTCCTGATTTCGGGGACCACCACGTACGTATTGATGTGCTGATTTGCGGGCTGCGTCTAGACAAGCTTCGCATCAGAGACATCCCGCGCGCTTCCTATGGCTGCACATTTGTCCATGTACGGCTACTCGTACAAGTGCAGAATTTCGCGAGAGCGCGTCGTGGCAGAACCTGTCGTGTGTACAGATCGATTGGCTCGCAGGGTGGAATTATCACAGCCGAAGACGTCCTCGCATGCATGTAAGCTGACACGGCCAGGTGGACATGCCTTGGCGAGTAGAAATGTGAAATGATATCGAATCTAGACAACAATCTAGACATCGGGGACTTTCGTTTTGGAACACGGCGAAGGGACACGCCGACTGTCCGAAGCACAAAAAGAGCCGCAGCTTACCGGGTTTGCCAGGTACCGCTCAGATCGCTAAGCGGAAGCACATGCTGCTGTGGATTGTCTGCCGAAGAAGAAAAATGTCTTTAACCTGAAGCAGTCCGGATCATCGCCAGAGACCCATGTTGAAGCACCGAGCGGCAGCGGGGTCACGATGCGGGAGAGCAGGGCTCTAAGTGACAGCAATTGCGCCGGGCCGCGCGCGGGCTTGATGGAATTGGATGTCACCAAGTCCCGCGCGGCACGGGATGATGCACTTTGAGACACAACGGACGATTCGATGTTGATGCTTATCAATCTGTAGTGCAGATGTCGTAGAACGTGCTTGGCAATGTCTTGTGCTGCTGCATGGAACCTTCATTCGCGTCTTTGCCGAGCCGCGAAGGCGCGCCGACCGTTTTGTTTTGCTTTCTCCGCCGCTGATCAATACAATTCCCCAAAACGCCTGATCGTTGAACAATCCCAAGCCGTCCCAAATGTCCGTTATGCCGATGCTGCAGTCGCCGGTCCGCCGATCAACAAATGCGCGATGTTGATTACTCCATATGTACCGTATCATTGCGCTGCGACCCCTTTTCCTTTTCGGTCCCCTGAACGTCCAAAAATCTCCCGCAGACTCCACGACTTCTTGTCCGAGCCATCGGATGACCCAGAGGAGTAGAATGTAGAAAGCTTCGATAGTGATGAGGTGGATTTCGTTGCGCCGTAGACTTCGGTCGGTCGTCCTGCAATGAGATACCATCAGCATCGTGTTTAGATGCCGCACAGAATCAGAGTTGAACCCACTTATGTTTCCAGCGCCACCGATTCCGTAGCCCCTGAATTGGCGATCTCTCACCGCAGTCTCCTTCACATCGTGCTCCTCCTCGGTATCGCTGCTCGCGTCATCCAAGCTTCTCCTCCTCCTCACATTGACAGGCGGCACAGTGCTCCCTGCCACGCCTGACTCGAATCTTGGAGTTGTGGGTGTCGTCCCGCCCGCCGCGACCGGGGATGGCAGCACCGACGCCGCGGGCCGCAGATTCACGGTGGAAACGCTGCGGACGACGGCCAATCGGCCCTGAACGCGGACTCGATGTTGCTGCCGCTTCCGCGCGGGTAGGAGCTGGTTTGTCTCGGGATCCATCTCGGCCATATCGTCCTGCGAACGGCGGAACTGGTTATGGAGGGAGATCATGGCGTCGTGGATTGGCATGGACGGGCGGCTTTCGGATAGGTGCAGCTCGATCGTATTTCGAATCACGCACGAATGGGCGGTCAGTTCTTGGGGTAACGGTCGCAATGGGGTTTCTCGCGGCCAAGAGAATGCAACGAAGGCCGAAAGTCGCATGAGAAAGCTGCAGACCGAGCTGGAGCCTGGGAAACCAAAAACAAATGAGCGGACGCGACAGATGACAAATGTCGTCGCAAGAAATGAAGGTCGTCAGGAGCTATTCCATCGATTCGCGAGGCCGAAACAGCGAAGAAGGAGAAGAAAACGACTGAACGTCACACTATCGATGCTAATCAGGGGCACCACTTCAAGCTAAGATGCCGAGCCAGCGTCGCTGAGCTCAGCCATCGTCCATGGAGTAGACAGCCCGACTAATTCTCTGTGTGCATGCTCTCTTTCTGCCTGGAAATGGCACTCCAAGATAAGGAAGCGGCGCAATCAACCCCAAGCAACCGGCTCTCAATCCGATTTCCTTTTGTCAAGCATTCCAGCAATCAAATCAGGCGCCCCGAGCCGTTGCTTGTGGCGGCCAAGTTCCCCTCATTAAACCTTGCATTGGGGTTGCCGGGGTGCCCTGAACGTGGGTGGTTTTGGGGGTAACATCGCCATGGAACCAGCCCTGATTTGCGCCAGGGCCCGTCTTAGTTCGACGGCTTTACCGGCTTGCTCGGATGAAGTCTCGATGTTTGACGGACACTGATTGTTCTTCATTTTCGAGGGTCTGTTGTTTGAAATGGGGGGGACTTGAGTAGAAGGCTCTCGATGCCACCTTCGATACCCCTGAATCCTTCATCTGAATTTCCAACAACGCGAACAAGCGGCGCAGCAAAGGTGCCTCCCACAGCAGACCAGCTACCGTTGGAACCCAAAATCCGCGCGTGGGATGGGATGGCAGTGTGACAGGGGGACAGGGGTCGCACCATGTTGCTCGATTGGGCAGCCATGTAAGCAGCCACTGTGAGCCATTGGCTCCTGGCGTGGAGTTGATCAGCTAGCGCCTCGCGCAGCCAGGATGGCGGTGTTATCGTCGGGGCAATTAACTTTGCTGCCAGGAACAAACTGCTGGAGAATCAACAAACCGTCAGAAAATATTTGCCCTGTATTTTCTACTGCCAAACTATCAAGTTCATCCCATAGAGAGGCTGCACTGGAACGAAGAAACGCCACCGTCAATGAGCCGTAGATCTTCATTATCTGGTTCAGAACTCTCTGTTCATCGTTTTGACTGAAGCAATAGAGAGCACAGCCAGACCAGAGACTGCAGACCGCCGCCGGAACAGAGCAAGTAGGATCTCAAGTTGCGTAGAACTTCCCGCATGGCTTCCCATGCAACACTCCACTGGAGAAGTCCGCTTTCCCAATGAGGCTTTGTTCGTGGACTTCTAGAAGACCGAGTGCCCACGCTGTGGCTTGAGCATCTCAAAGCCCCTTCCCATTCCAATCAATCCATGCTCGATAATCAGAACCCGGCAAGCATGGCGGCCACAATGATCTTTCAGCAAGAAAGCGATGTATCAAAACTTCCATGCAATGCATCTAATCCCACGGTGCAGAGCTCATCACCGGCTGATCGATTTCCTCATCAAATATGGCAAACCCCAAGTGGCGGCCAGGGTCTAGGAATCGCAGCGGACCCCGCTCAGAAGACAACTCGTTAACAACATTGAAGAGATGTTTCGGAAGTAGTTGCAGTCCCAGATTCTGCGTCATGTGGGCTCTACTGACGGATTTTGGTACTATAGCAGTTCCTCTCTGGACAGCCCAAGAGAGACAGACCTGATGACCGGTCAGATGTTATACTTCTTTTTGTAGCAATGTCAACCTACCTGGGCTGGGGACATCCCGCATTTTTTGGAGACTTCAATTATCTGCAGCATGTTAGGGCGACATATCTTGCCGAGCAAATCTGGGGCTAGCCGTATGCCTGCCTACCTTTGAATTTTCAGTGGGAAACGGCTCATCTGGATGACCTCTGACCTGCGCCACTGGTCGACCGCCGAGAGGTTGGTGGGCCATGAGCAGAATTCCATGCTTTGACGAGAAATCAAGAAGTTCATGTTGTGGCAAGTAACTATCCACCGTAAGAAAGTGGAAGATTCTGAGAGACCCGAGGAAGATTGTGAACAGACGGGTGGAGCTCAACCTGGTTAACCGCTGGAACAATTTTGGCAACTTCGAGTATGCGCTTCGTCTTAAGGACGTTGAAGTTGGAAAGCCCTTCTTGATGTCAGCTTTCAGTCCTCGACAAACATTCACGAGAATGTGTATGACTCACCGATAGATCGAGCCTTGCCTGAGTCCACGAGCTTTTCCATCGCTTGCCACGTTTCCGGATACCGCCGAGAGAGGTCGTAATCAATAACAGGCTATCTGAAGGGTCAGAAACGAGCTGCCGTAGCCAAATGCGAACTGAATCACCAACCTTTCCATTGCCACTCGGGTGCCTGATGGTATTGTTATTTTTGCCGGCTTTGTAGGCATGAGGAACTATGATGTCTTAGCCATACACCATAACGACAAGGAGGCGTTTTCATGACGTACAATGCATTAGATATAGGTCAACTACATTGTTCCAAATTAATCCACTAAACAGGGTTTGCAGAAAGGAATCTTACCATGATCTAGTTGAAGATCACGTAGAGAGGTTTCAAGAGCTCTCTCAACGTCGGCAGGCTCATGCCAGGTTTGGGCGCTAACGAGCTAATATGTTATAATCTTATCGTGGGACTGGGAAACCAGCATACTCAGCATATGTTGCTTACAGCTTAGACGTCACAAATATCTCTTCCCTCGGAATTCCGCTTTCTTTGATAGCTTCGCCAATGTCTTTCTCGTTGCCGTATGCGTTGGCCCCATCAATGTGCCTGTAACCAAGACTCAGCGCCAGCTTCACGGCATCCTTGACCTTGGAGTTGCCCTCGGTTCCCTGGAAAGTTCCGAAGCCAACCGCGGGAACCTTTCGGCCATTATTCAAAGTGAAGATCCTAGGAAAAGACATGGTGGCAACCGTTTGTCTGGGGCTTCAAGACCCTGAGCCTGGTCATTGGATGGTGTAAAGGTGATTGAATCTCAGACGATTGGATGCGCGGGGTAATGCGGAGGTACTCAATAAGCCGTCAGTATGTGTGCTTAGTAAGTAGAGGCGGAGGATAAAAGAGTAAAGAAACATCCCTGAGAATAGAAGCCAACGGGCCAACCCTTATGAAGCATTAACCGCCCTTTCGCAAATATCCTTTTGCTGGATTAATCCCGGTACATGACCAACAGACCAACCTGTGCCCAAGAGATAAAGAAGCTGGTCGTCACCTCTGACCGCCAAAATATGGGATGTCTTTGGATGTAACAGATAAGCACGCCAAATCTTCGCACTCGATCGTTTAGCATGAGATAGTGATACGGGATATACACCGAGAGAGTGGACCATAGCTGGCTGAAAAGATGACGTCCCTCGAAACCAACATTCTGCCCGAGAAAGTTTGTTCTGTTGATCCAAGGATCGTTACCGGTCAGCGAGTGCCCCGATTTGATACTGAGCTTGGCCTCAGATTGCGTTTCTAGCTTTGAACGATGTTGACAGCGTCACTTCTATGACACAACTTTCCCAATCAGAATGGGCAACCACATTCTGCCTGACCATTCGTCACAGAGACAAGAGCGAAGAGCAATATTTTGTCAAGGTCATTACTTGTAATTGAACTTTCAGCGATAGCAAATGCTGATGATTGAGCTCACAGGTTTCTTACGGAGCACAGGGAAAAGAGGCGCTTGAGGGCGAGTTTGCCGCCACCTCCGCCATACACTACCGCGCTCCGGACTTTTGTCCCAGACCGATTGCTTGCGGTACCTACGAAAGTGACACCAATTCGCACTTCTACATTTGCGAATTCCACAACCTGAGTGGACATCTTCCTGCCCCTGGCAGCTTCTGCAAGGAGTTGGCTCAGTTGCATTCCCGCAGATCTCCTCGCGGCGATTTCGGGTTTCAGTGTGTCACGTACAACGGTGACACCCCCCAGGACAACACTTGGTCGAATAATTGGGAACACTTCTTTTCCAAAAGCTTGCGTCATTTACTGAATGTGCGAGAGGATAGAGCCGGACCTAGTGCTGAGCTCGAACAACTTTTGCCTGAACTTTTTGGGCGTGTGATACCGAGACTGTTGCGTCCGTTGGAGACCGCCGGCCGAACTTTGAAGCCTTCGCTGGTACATGGAGATCTGTGGTACGGCAACGCCAGCATCGACGAGGACACTGGAAAGGGTATCGTATACGACCCGGCCAGTTTCTGGGCGCACAATGAATGTAAGTTTCACATACTCACATGGGAAATAATGCTAATGTCCACAACTCATAGACGAACTGGGAAATTGGCGGCCGAAGCGAAATAGATTCACACAAGAATACTTCGACGCATATCACTCTCTCATTGCAAAATCAGATCCAATCGAGGATTATGACGATCGCAATGCTCTTTATGCCATGTACGTCGTCCAAGCAGTTCACCGCTGCCTTTTAACTGATCTTGGCGTCCAGAAGATTCAACTTACAAGCGGCTACACTTTTTCCTGGTGAAAGGACGTATTTGAGGGAGTGAGCTACCCATGATTTCGACCTCTTCGCATAGCTGACCGTCTATGGACAGGTCAATTGATGAAATTCGAAGACTTGTCGCTGAATTTTCCTCTGGGACCCCTTTGACCGTAAGATATCCATCTGACGTCGCCACATGCTGAGGTTTCCATTCATATTTACATTGGGTCATGTGTGCGAAAAGACGGACGTGTCCTTCGGAACGCGACGGAGTGCGAGGTCTATGAATGGACGGCCTCCGATTTCCCGGTGGATTCCCGGCGTTGGAGACAGCGGGGCCGGGCTTGGACGACTGTCGCCCGATGTCTCGTTGTAATAAAGCCGTGATGTCAGGTGCGGAGAAAGCCTCACACTGCATAGGTTAACTAAGACTTAGCAACCTTGATTGTCTGCCGATACCATATACCCTCTCAAATACACTCAAAGCATTCTCGAACCTGTCGTTCATCAATTGTTCATCTCAAAATTGCGTTTCCCTAACGATTCTTGGCACCATGTCAAGCACGTCCGGGATGCAGAACCCATCTTGGTTCCTCTACGGTCCAGGCTCGGCCAAGCTCGAAGACCGCCCGGTACCAGAAATAAAAAATGACCACGATGTGATTGTGCAAATCAAATATGTGGGCGTCTGCGGCAGCGATGTAATTTCTCCTTCCCTTCCTACCCGCCCCGAAGACTCACATTCTCAGGTCCACTTCTGGCAAGAAGGCGGCTTCATGCGCAAAGTTAGCACCTTGAACCCCCTCGTAATGGGCCACGAAGCATCGGGAACAATCTTCTCAGCCGGTTCCGGCGTCACTTCCGTCAGAGTAGGCGACAAAGTCGCCATCGAACCAGGCTTCCCCTGCCGCCGTTGCAAGAACTGCAAGGACGGCGTGTACAATCTCTGCCCGCGGATGGCCTTCGCCGCAGACCCGCCGGACAACCACGGCGCGCTCACAAAGTACTTTGTCGTGCCGGAGGACTTTGTCTACAAGGTCCCCAAGGAGGTGAGTCTGCAGGAGGCGGTGCTGGTCGAGCCGACTGCCGTGGCTGTTCACTCTGCTCGTCTGGCGGAGATTAGGTACGGGCAGGACGTCGTTGTGACCGGGTCCGGAACGATTGGGCTGCTTTCCGCCGCGGTGGCGAAGGCATTTGGGGCGAAGAGGGTTGTGCTTGTGGATATTCTCGAGAGGAAGCTCGAGTTTGCGAGGTCGTTCGTAGAGTGCGAGACGTTCCTTGCGGATGTCAAGACGGATAGCGAGGAGACTGCCTCGCAGCTCTTGAAGAGGTTTGGCATGAATGAGGGAGCAGATGCTGTAATCGAGGCTTCTGGAGCGCAGTCTTCGATCCAGACGGGCATCTACTTGCTGAAGCGCGGAGGCAGTTATGTTCAGGCAGGACTGGGCAAGGCCAGGCCCGAGGTTCCCATGCTTGCGTTGTCGGAGAAGGAGCTCAAAGTCAGAGGATGCTTCCGCTACGGCTCTGGAGACTATGAGACAGCCCTTTCTCTCATTGCACAAGGGCGAATCAACACCAAGGCGTTGCTATCGAGCATTACTCCTTTCGAGAACGCTACCGCTGCTTGGGATAAGACGGCAAGTGGCGAGGGCATCAAGAATCTCATCGAGGGAGTGAAGGATTAGACCCGGCATCTGTAGGACGAACCAAATGTGCATCATCATTCTCATACTGGAATTATGGGCTTCAACTCCCTCGGGTGGATGTTGAGCCCACTCGGGTCAACGCCGCCGAAGCCAACCCCTCACGACCCATCATTGCCCGCCAACCTGCATGAAGCCAGTCGGGGCCCTCCACACCGAACAACCAATCCCACTTTACACGATTGTGAAAGATCCAGATTGTTGAGGAGGGGCAGTTTGCCTCGCCATGAACTAAAGCATGGCCATGCATAATTGGTCACACCAACTCAGACATGCACATCTGATCGTCACAATCATCTCCATGTGTGACCACATCAGCCAACCAGCATGGCCGCAGCCGTAGTGATGTCAAGCCTCAAGTCTAGGAAAAGCAACAACAGGCACTGTGGACATCCAGCTGAGATCAGCCCCTCAGTTGACTCGGCCCTCACTAGGAACACCAGCAACTCCGATGTCGTACGAAGCTGCTTTAAAGTCTGGACCCCGGAGCCGGCCGCGGCTCCCCGCTTCTGACCCCAACTTCTCCAAACATCACTCCAACATCACAATTACCTGGATATCTTCATCAAGTTGCGTGCCGAAATGACCAAGATACAGCACTCGATCAAACTTCCCACCTTCCGGGAGCCCTTCTCCAAGACGCCCGAGTACGCGCGGGAAGTGATCGCAGGGTGGGTAGACAAGTTCAATCGGCTGCTGACCAATGGCGACCTCGCCGAGTTCCCGTCGCTTTTCCGCAGCGATGCGTGGATCCGTGACTTTCTCAGCCTCTCCTGGGACTTCCGCACCATTCAGGGCCTTCACAGGATAAGCGAGTACTTCCAAGAGAACCTCCGACAGACAGGTCTACGGAACATCGAGCCCCGCGAGACGGGTGCCTTTGCCCCGGCCTTCAGAACTGTCGCCCCGGGGGTTCACTGGGTGGACAGCATGTTTGATTTTGAGAACGATGTCGGCCGTGGGAAGGGAGTCGTGCGACTGGTCGAAGAGGAGGATAATGTGTGGAAGGCGTACATGATCAACTTCACCCTTCAAGAGCTGAAGAATATCGAGGAGAAAGCCGGGATCAATAGGCCGACGGGGAAGGTTGACCCCAAGGGTGGGAATTGGAAGGAGAGGCGGGATAGGGAGAGGGAGTTCCTTGATGAAGACCCTGCTGTACTGGTCATTGGCGCCGGTGAGTGGACGTTGAAGCCAACAGTGAGTTGGGGCCATCGCTGATGTCGACTTGCATAGGCCATGCTGGAATCAACATTGGCGTCCGACTCCGACATCTTGGAGTCTCAACCCTCATGATCGACCGCAACGAGCGTGTAGGCGACAGTTGGCGCAAACGATATAGGGTAAGCCAGATAATCTCCAAGATCAACTCTGCCGGCATCTAACACCTATCAGACGCTCATGACCCACGATCCGATCCAATACTGTCACCTTCCCTTCATCCCCTTCCCATCCAACTGGCCCATGTTTATGCCCAAAGACAAGCTAGCCGACTGGCTCGAGTCCTACGCAACAATGATGGAACTCAACGTCTGGACCTCCACCGAAATCGCCGAATCGTCCTACGACGACCAGTCTAAGAGCTGGACGGTCACCCTCCGCCGCGGCGACGGGAGCACCCGCACCTTGCACCCGCGCCACATCGTCCTCGCCACAGGCCAGGCCGGCGACCCCATCACGCCGACGTTCCCGAACCAGTCCGCGTTCAAGGGCACGGTATATCACGGAAGCCAGCACCAGGACGCCTCCACTGTCTCCGACCTCGCTTCGAAGAAAGTCCTCGTCGTCGGTTCTGGCAATTCGAGTCACGATATCTGCCAAAACTTCTACGAGAACGGCGCTGGAAGTGTGACGATGGTACAGCGCGGCGGGTCGTACGTCATCACCGCCAACAAGGGCATCTTCGTCATGCACAAGGGCATGTACGAGGAAGGCGGACCCCCGACGGAAGATGCGGACATTGTCGCCCAGAGCATACCGACGCCGGTGGGCTTCGCGCTGAGTGTTCACGGGACCAAGGCTATTGCGGACGTGGATCGCGAGATTCTGGATGGGTTGACCAAGGCTGGCTTCAAGCTCGACTTCGGGCCTAATGGTAGCGGGATCTATCGCAAGTACATTGAGCGGGGCGGAGGGTACTACATCAACGTGGGATGCAGCGAGCTCATTGTTGACGGTAAAGTCAAAGTCCGCCATAGCCCCAAGGGTATCGAGAAGTTCACGCCAAACGGACTGGCTCTGGCGGATGGGACGACCCTGGATGCCGACATTGTTGTACTTGCGACTGGATACGACGGCATGAAGTCTACCGCGCGCAAGGTATTCGGGAACAAGGTAGCCGGTCGCCTCAAGGAGTGCTGGGACCTGGACGAGCAGGGAGAGATCAACTCGGTGAGTCTTCACCAAGCCCCAAGATTGGCATGATACTAACGCAGACAGATCTGGCGAAGCAGTGGGCATCCTGGATTCTGGTATATGGGTGGCAATCTTGCGTTGTGCCGTTCGTACTCCCGCTTGTTGGCGCTGCAGATCAAGGCTCTAGAGGAAGGTTTGTATTCCCAGACATGAGAGACGACACGGACGGCTTGTTTGAAGATGGCGGGAAGCCTTCTGGCAGTTGTAACGAGGATGTTGGGCGATTAGACTTAAGAGCCATCAATATTATGACATAATACTTGCTACAAGTGACTATGCTTCGCCCAATTCCAAGGGAATCATCGACCCTGATTTTCTGACTTGTCAGGTACTTCATATACCTGCCGCACGATATTATATAGGCGCATCGCCTTCCTGCGAGCCGAACAGTTATGACTCTCGCTCCGTGCCTAACTTGGAATTCCTTCCATAATCAAAGGTTTCCGGCAAACCCTCCGTGAGCAGCAAATCGCTGCTGGTAATCGCGGAGGTGGGCCCAATTCCGCATTTCCTCTTCCTCATCCTGCGGCGTCATGTTCTCCCCAGCCATATTACTGCCACTGGGGCCTGTCCCTTCCAGCTTTAGAAGGACATCGATCAATCGCATAAGCGCCTCCTCAGAATTCATAGCAACTGGCCCCTTCCTCTCGGGTGCATCGTTCAGCAGTGTCGAGGCGACCTGCCGGATTTTGTTGATAAGAGAGCCGCCATTGGGCTCGAGGTTGCGCTGTGAAATCGAACCAAGGACGTGAAGGAGGTTCTGCACAATCAGCTCACGCTCAGCTGTCATAAGCTCAAAGACTGCGGAGTCCTCTGCTTCTTTTGCTGCCTTCTCTTCAGCAGATTCGCCATTTTGCGTTTCTTTGTTTGGGTCAGCTAGATGTACGTCGCGTAGGTTGAAGTACAGCTCCACATAGAATGACCTTGTTGCCAGTTGAGAAATGTAGATATTAGCCTTCTGAATCTCGTACTGGAGCTGACGACGACGCTGCGGCTGGTTCTTAATCACATTCCGGACGTCATTTGGAGGCTGGCTGTTTGGATATGCGGGAGGCACGTATTGAAGGTCGGCATCATCGAGAGCACCAAAGCCACTAGATTGGTCGTGCGATGCGCTGAGCTGGAGCTCCGTGGGCAGCCGATCGATGATTTCCTTGGCAGCCACCAGAGCATCTCGCAGGATCGGCCTCTGATCAGACCATGGAAGCGTGTTCATTCCGTAAACAAGCTCCACGCTCACGATGGCGTTCATGGTCGTATAGATCTCAATGGCGAAGCGATAACCCGTGAGCAGGGTGACAGTGTCTTCTGAGGGGAAAACAATCTCATTCGCCATGATGTACAGGTCGTCAACATTCTCGGGCAGAGCTGGGTACGGCAAGCCAGGCGTTGATGGAGCTATGACGAGGTCGGCATGAGATGCTCCAAGCTGCGAGAAGGACCTGCAGCAGTCAGTACTGGAATCATGTGTTGCAACAGACGGTTTCTATCTCACCTCACACCCAACAAAAGACACCAGAAGATGCGCTTTCCAATTTGATCCTTGATGTGGTGGAATGGCAGCGGGTCGGGAGAGCAATTGTCGTTGCCAAACGTAGGAAGCTCGCCGGGGTGCTTTGGGCGGTGGAAGCCCAGCTCTCGAATCAGGGCCAGGCACTCCGAAGTGAAGTAGCGGAAGCGGTTGACCTCGAAGGTGTACCCCGCAGCCAAGCCCAGGAAGTAGCTGGTGGCCGCATCATCCAACGTCTTTGGCTGCTTCACGGCCCACCGTGCGCCTCTGGTATCTAGCGCAATGTCGCGACACTTTTCAATCATGACAATTGCTCGAGGGAACAGGTGCGTGCTGTGTTGGGTCTTGAGGTGCTGTCTAGCGCTTCGAGGGAACGAGGCCACGAGAGCTCCAATCATGGAAGCCAGCAGGCCAAGGAACTCTGGGTTTGTCCGGTCTTCTCGATTCGCAAAGGAGTGCCGGAATGTCGGTTCGTGCGGAAACGGCGCGAGGGGGTGGATGTAGGTGAAGAAGTCGTCGACCAACAGCTCGAGTATAGGCATCGGGGCAATGGCTTCGGCGTCGAGACGAGCGGGTCCCTCTGCTATCGAGACCAGAGCTTGCGCAGCATTATGCGGAGACGGTGTCGGGTTCGCGGGGCCGTATGCAGGAATGGTGTTGCCGGGCTCGAGACGCTGCCTTCGAGCAGCTCGAGCGGCTTCGGCGTGCTTGTTTGGGGGTCCACGTCTCTTCAGCTCGCGATTGAAAGTGCAGTCGACGTTCAACTCCCGGCATGGCCTACACGGTGGGCCCGCCTCGTCGCACTTGACCTTGCGCTGGGAGCACATGTCACATGCTCGTCGTAGGCGCGTCAACTTCGGGTTGACTGTGGGATCGCGGGGTAGAGCAGGCATCGAGCCGGGCAAGGGTGGCATCGGGGCGAAGCCAGGGAAGCCCGGAACAGCGCCTTGGGGGACGGTACCGAGGGAGGCATCGGCTGCGATGGGGGAGGGAGAGGGCCCTGGAGCGGTGGTCGTGACGGTCTGGGGTGTCTGTTGAAGCTGGGGAGGGTGTGTCT